TAATTTCAGACTGGGCAAACTTTCTCACTCGAACTATCACCGCAGTAGTCTAAACCACTTCAATCAACTATTCTAAAATCGATAATAGTCATAAACTTCCTCTTTTTTCTGGATTAAAAATTGCAATGGCTTAGTTTGCAAAATATATAGCACTATGATTTTAGATTCTAATTCGATATTTAAAAAATTATTTTGCGATGATTTAAAAGAATCTACAATATAAATTTCAAAACAAAAAAGAGTTAACGCAGAATTTTACATTCTCATTTTTACAGTTCACTAACATCAGAAAACGAAGAAATTTGTAATAAATCACCTAAAATGTCTTTTGTGCGCAAAATTTTCTTCCCATCGAATTTGTTCCTTTATCTCTTTCCCATTTTTTAAACTTTTCCCTAATTATTTCGTAAAAAATAGACAATGCAACAAAAAAAATAAATTGGAATTTTCAAAGCAATAATTTGTATAAACCAAAAAATTTTGAAAATGTATAAAAATGCAAAGGATTAGAAAGAGTACCGAAGGATAAATAGCGATCAGATTCAGAAATCTTTGAAATATCCCAGAAATTGCTAAAAATTTGGCCAAAATTAGCATTTCAATGATCAGAGAAATTGTTCAATAATATACTCAGTATTTTTCTATCGATTGACCTATACTGAAATCCTTTCTTTTGCATATTGCAGAAAAATGGCCAAGTCAGTGATTTATATTTTGCAAAAGACCCATTATGAGACCATTATTTTTTCATCCGTTAATCAAACTATTTTTATCGATATAAATTAAATGAGAAAATTTTTAGAAGAATTTGGTACAATTATTTTTGAAGCTTTCAATAGAAAATAATTTAGCAAAATATCACACATTATCAATCATACCGACTTTATACAAACAATGAAATGTATTATATGTTCGTGCTTAGGATTCACAGTCGTAAATCTGGAATAGATCGAGATGGGCTTGGGCTCAAATTCGACCGACATAGTACATGAAGTTGCAGTTTTGTCAAATGGTAAAAGAAAAGGACAATAGAATAATTCAGTAGATGTTTTTTAGTTTGGAACAGCGATACACCTTCTCTGCAGGTACAAACCCGTCTTTTAAAAATTCTAGTGTTATAAATATAGAATAGTATATCATAAATATCTTTACTGCGAAAGAATTTCCTAGCAAAAAGTTCGAAAGTTCTAGATCGAAACTCAGCTGAGAATCTAAGGAGCAGTGGTGAGTTCTTAGAAAAAAAAGCTAGCTAAGTAGCCGAATTGTTGTTGCCCAGATTGCTACCACAAGGGTCAATGGTTCAAGTCGTGCTTCCGATAAATAAGCTTCATTTAAATTTCATAAGTCATTTAAAAATCACGATGATGCTGGAGATCCATATTTATGCTTGCATCTGGCAAAGCTTTCTTATCTTATAAGCAGCCAATAGAATGAAAACTTAACCAAAAATGGTGAGCACTAACCGCTTATTCAGCAATCTTTGAAATAGTTGGCAGTTTTTTCATTGTTAGCAAAACAATTCAAACGAAATCGTTTTATAAAGCAAAGCAATAAAAATTATTGCTTAGAAATATGTTTAATAATTCTTTATAGATACATGAAAATAAACTATTTTCTATATCAATAAATTATTTATAGACATACCTAAAACCCCTAAAAAAACCCGTAAATCAACGAATTAGAATCAGAAATACGAATGAACCTCTTTGAAACCACGGTGACATCAAAAAGATTTATGTAACTGTGTCCGTACAGATTAAGGAAAAATAATTTTTTTAAGTATTTATGATTAATTAATTTTTTGAAAATTTGAAATTCCTTTAAAATCTAAATAAAACATTAAAGATTCTTTTAAATTTTCCATAAAAGCCTTCATAAACCTCTCCACCAATTTCGAAGAAGGCCAGGCCAGGCGACATTGAGCAATAAATAATTTGTCATGCGCTTGAATCAACAACAGTCGCGTTTTCAGAAAACAACAGTCGCGTTTTATATATTATTAATCCACAAAAAACTAGCAAGTAAGCTTATCGCCTAAGAAATAACAAATAAAAATGAATGAAAATTTATCAAAAATTTAAATTTTTGATAACTTAAAAGAATTGTGATTGATGAGCTAAATGATTCTCTCGAGAGGCTGTGTAAAAATTTGTTTTTTTCAAAACGAATTTATAAATACAACGAAGAAAAGCCTTCGTGAGATTTTAAAGACTTAACGGTTTTATATATCATAAATAGGTTGATAATTTAACTGACAGCAAATTCACTTATCACTCTTCATGTTGACCAATTTCTGAAATCGTGAATTCTGTAAATTCTAAGCATATCTTTCATTCAATATTCATATTTTTAGCGTTTTATTCTTCTTCTAACTTTTCATCTTAGATAAATTAAATTTTTGATTGAAAATTACTCATTATCTAAATTATTTAAATTCAATAATCTGGAGCGCAAAAGCCAACAAATTCTTAATTAACGATAATGGTAGAATAATATTTAATAACAATAAATAATTGAAGTATATCCTCGCTACTCGCTATCTGTGATGGATTGTTTTAAAAGCGAGAAGGTCCAATCAAGGTCTGGACTTATATAAAGCAGACATATATCTAGCAATGTATAGGTTTAGACGGTGGAAAAAAGAGACGGTGTTACCGTCTGACATGGCATCGGATCAAGCAGCTTGAATATGCCTTTATTCATGCGGTCAATTGAGCCAGCGATTGCTCTTAAAAGAAGAATTATAATAATTAATAATAATAATAGTAATAATAATATTATAACAATGGTACAATAATAATTATTAATGATAATAATATAATTGTTAATAATGGTATTAATAATAAAATAAAATTAATTGTAGCAAATTAAGAAATAATTATATTATATTATAAGCCTTATAATCAAAGATGCGTTCAGAAAATTGTGGAACTATTGTCTATTTCAATGCCCCCAAATCAATGCCTTTCATCCAATATTTTTTCACGGATCATAAATTCACTCGATCCATTTGCCTGCAAAAAAAGGCTTTTTTCTAAAAATGTTTCAATTCAATCATTTTAATATTTGCGATGGGTTAGGCTCAATCACATTTTTGACGAATATAATTTGTTAAAATTATTTTGAAGTGACCCAACAAAGACTTTGAATATTCTGCGATAAATTTTCACAACCCTTAAATAAAGTCAGCAACTGCATAATAACTATTTTTTGAGGCAACTTTAGACTTACAAAGACGATAAGTTGCGAAAATTAACTATTCATAGGGAAGAAACTGAACATAAATCAGTGGCATATTGCTTTGATTAAGTTTAAGCGTCCTGAATTCGTCTCTTGACGAGTGCGTTTAGCATTTTCACTTTATCATTAGGAATGAAAAGAAACCAACCTAGGTGGTACTTGCAAAAATAATTATGAGGCAAAGTAATCAGGCAAAAGAGAAGAGCCAATTTCAATTTTCACAATGCTGACGCTAGCCAAACCATAAATATGGTAAACACTATGGGAAAATAAAGGAACAGTAATGCACATGGTGCATAACAATAATATATTTCGTATACACCATACATCATACGTTTCGCATTATTGGAGGAATTCATTTATTCCAGTATAAATCACAATAGTAAATTATCACAAATTTGCTATATATATATATATATATATATATCAAAAAAGAATCGCAGAAAAATGTGGTCCAACAGAAATGTAAAAAAATTTATAAAGTCAGAGAGATAGGTTAAAGGGCCAAAGGTATTTCAGTTGTTCTTTCTGAAAAGAAATTTCAAATTTCCGAACAAATATTGGAAAAATGACAGAAGAATAAAAGATTTTTCTCATAAAAAATCATTTTAAATATACATCGAAATACGACTCTTATTTTGCATGAAAAAACAGCAAGCGAAATCGGACTAAGCCGTTCGGTCCAAAATCCGAAGTACCACAGCACTTTTTATTCTTATCGTATTTTATTCGCAATTACTATTACAACTCGGATACACGATTTCACCATACTGAAATAAATCGATCAAAATGATTTCTAATCTCTGCTGAGATAAAAATTTCCACCAATTACTGTCGAATTTTTCGAATAATTTACTTTTTTAAATCATTTTTGAATCGTTGCAGAGATTTGCAGCGCATAGAAGTGATTTTATGATTTTTTAATCCCCAAACTTAATAGTTAATTTTTACGATGGCACGCGAGTAATCATTTCGTAAATCCTCAATATTGCCTTACGGCTAACCATTAAAATTTCTGGTGCCAGCGAAATGTGCAGCAAACGCTCATAAGATTTCTGATTTTTAAATATTTTTCGAGCAAAATAAATAATTTAGAAAAATTAATACAAACTTGCAAAATCGTTTTAAGACTGAAATTTAAAAAAATTTCCCCCAATTTTAGAGATTTTTAAGGATTTTTTTTGAAGATTTTTGCAAGTTGAATTCGAATTTTTCGTTATATCTTTAATACAATTAAAAATTCTCCAAAGCTCTTTGATGGATCGCTTAATCCGAAAACTGTTTTTTCGATATATAAACCAATAAATCTCAACCCATCGCGATTTTAAAGTTCATTTCTCTCTTCGTTATCAGATGACGGCACCTCCAAAGTACCGATTCGTTCAATATGTCCTTTATCATCTGTAAAAGTCTGTTAATTGTCTAATTGTCGTGAAAAACTGCAAATAGCATAAATAGCAAAAGTCTGTAGGTGGTATGTGGGCTGAGGACCAGCATTATTCCTTATATTCTTTATTTCATTTCAAATATTAAAAAATAAAAAAGTGGATGAGACTCTCAGACTTTACAGAAGGTTCCAAAAGCTTTGCCGGTCAATAGCAAAAAGAAAAGATCAAGAAATCTTTAGGAAAAAATTAGTTCGTTTTTTACTCAGTTTTTTCATGTGTTTTTCATCAAATCTTCAACCCACTCGTGAAAAAAAGGTAAAGAACAAGTTAATAATTGAAAATTTGAGTACTTTTGTGAATGCGAAAAAAGTATTAAGAATTACTTAATGTTGACTGTAGTTCGTTCCTCGTACTTCCTTCAGGTAATAATTGTAAAACAGTTTTAAACATTCGAGGTGTCGAGATATGAGTCGAAATATGACAGGTTTCTTCGAAGGTTTTCTTCTGCTTCTGGTCAATTTCATTCTTTGCTTTCGCATCTTTGTTTAGCATTTTCCTGAAAAATCATTCTCCAATATGAAATAAATTTTTGGAGAATCCTCGTCTTCATAAGTCATTTCCTAGTTATAATATTCGTTTCAATCATGTTTTTGAGCGAATGTTTTGTGATTGAGTCCTAAGAAATATGTGTCGTAATCAGTTAAAACTTAAAGTTTTCTGGTTTTCTGGAAAATCCCCAAGGTACCAAAAAATCAGATATTATTTAAGATTAAAATAGAAAGCGACAAACTAATCACTTTGCTTTCCGTTTTAATAATCTTTGTGCCTCAGGGTAATCTTTTATAACATCATTAAGATCTTCTTTCGATAGCACAAATAATGTCGAATAACCTTTCGAACGAATGCTGGCCGTTCTTTTATTGTTACCACCTATTGCAAGCAAGCTACAATTTTTATAATTATGCACACTACAATTTTTTACAATATTCGTTAGAAATTACTATTTCTGGTTAAGCCTATTCCACTGGCTATTATGTTATTTTAGTGAGGAAAATATTTGTGGATGAAAATATAAGCGTGTCCTTAAGACACTATTTGCGCAGGTTCATGCCAGGGGATCCCAGTACACTTGCTTGTTTGAAATAATAATTTAAATCAGGCAGGTCTGTTAGGTAAAATTTTTGGTATCGATTCAGAAATTTTCGGTGAATTTTCTGAATGCAGCAAAAAATTTCGTTGGGAACAACCTACCTAAGCAATACGCCGCCTTGCTATTTCTTCTCCTTCAATTTATTCGGTCTGCATTCGACTCATCGTTTACTATGATCTTGCTTACTATGATCTTATTTTGCTTACTGTGGTCTTATTTTTTCTTATTTTGATGCTTATTTTTAGTGCAATAATCGACAAAATTTAATTTTAATAAAATGAACAGATGTAATTTCCGAGCAATTTAAATATAGGAAAAAATTTCACCTTATATAAATATAGGAAAAAATTTCACCTTATTTCACCGAATACTGATCCTTCCGTGAGTTCAGCAAAGACTTTTTCATTATTTTCACCGCCAACAACTTGTAGAACACCATCATTAACGATATACATTTCCTTTCCCACGTCACCCTAAGGTATTTTTACACAAAAAATTACTCTATATTTTGGATCTATAAGAAACAAAGAACCAAAGCTTATTTTAAAAATTACCTTTTTACATATCATGTCGCCAGGTAAAAATATAACAGGTCTCAGCCTCAGAACTAATTCTCTAAGTAAGGCTCTGTCACAGTCCTGCAAATGGCGTGTGTTACATTATCCCAGGTACCACATATGTCACAACGAAATAAAAGACTAATGAAACCTGGAAAAGTTGGACTTTGCTCAGCGTGTTATAATGAACCGACAAAGCAAGGTCCGTTTGTAATTTTAGCGGCAATTTCTCGATTAGCTTCTTTTCATCTAAATGTTAAATGTTAAATGTTAAAAATATTTTTAAAACAATGAGCAATGGAAATTTTTTTGCAAAAATTGGCGGAAAATCAAAGTTTTGGAGACAAATAAACAGTGAAAAAAATAAAAATGGTCCGCATAAGAAGCTCGCTTATAGTGAAGAAGCAGCGAAATTATTACGGCTGTAAGGGAACCAACCAAGCGTCTTTTGACGTTGCCAAGTATAAAAGAACCAGTCCATGACTCGGTCGACAACTTCCCTCGGCAACTGCAGTCGTTTGCATTCGGAAACAACTCGATCCATGGTTTGTCGGTAAAGCTCTCGATTCCGATTCGCGTTGGATACTATATCGCGAATCTTAAAGTGAAAAGTTGAATAATTTTTTAATCCTTTCGTTATCCAACAAAAAAAATTGTCACTGGTTTAAAGTTGATAAATACAAAATGGTAAGATGGTACAAAAAATTTTCGCCAATAATGGCTTCCATGATATTTGAGGAAAGTGAAGAAGAAAATTAAATGCACCTGTCCTAATAAGAGCGCAAACACAAAGACGCCCATCATCCATGAAAAAGTCATATAAATATATTCGATCACATTGGTCGGTGAAGGGTTATTGCCCGTTGAAGTGGCAACTGCTGCTGTGAAATAAAAACAGCGGATATATGCGTTGCCTAAGGAAAGGCTGAGAATGTTGTTGGATAAAAAGTGGACAAAATCAAATAAAAAAGCAAAATCGCAGTTTTAGACGATTTTCTCCGAATTTTAGCTGATATTATTGAAATAAAATTTTAAAAAGTCGCTTTAAATCCTTTAAAAAATAAAACAATTGCAAAAAGAAAGGAAATTTAATATAATCAGCAATGTTATTTGAATGCCCGAAGCATTTGTAATTGCATTTGTTTTTAAATTCAGCGATTTGTTTCGCCCTTTTTTGTAATTTTTCTCCCACTTTTAGCCTTTTCAATATTTTATACTCTCTCTATCTGCCAGCACAGGGCTTTGATCCTTATAATTGATAAGTTAAGGCAAATTTTTTTTTATATAACTAAATTTACCTTGATTATTGTAAACCCATTTATTAAGGTACCATCGGTTATTCATTCTGTACGCAATTTGCCCGAATGCTTGCCAAGCGCTCAGCTTATAGTATATGCAACTATTGCAGTGTATTATATAAACCATATAAGATAAAGTCTTCGTTATTCTGGAATATAGAACGGACGTTTTGATAGAATTGTTATTCTCTGTGTTCAGTGTGAAAATTGAAAAAATATCTTCGATTTGTGTTCTAGTGATTTTCAGCCACATCCATGAGTTAAGGTAGACGACAGTGGTGCAACTCGGATCAAACATGTTCTGCTCTACTCTATTATTGGAAGCGAGCTTCTGAAGAAAGTTTTGCACCCAATTAGCCTACGGAAGTAGCCAAGCCAGAAATGGTGCTGCAAGAGGAAAAAGAAGTCGCGCCCACAAAAATTTTCCTTTTTAGTCAATTATTTAGGCCTTTAGCGATTTTCTAAATTCATCATCACAATATCACCATATTGATAATTAAACACCAATGCAACAAATGAACATTTAACATAAACATTTAACAATTTTTGCTAAAAATATCTTTTTATCTCATTAAAAAGGCTCATGTTATTTAAATGAACTCTCATACCTGATAATATATGGACTCGAAAAAGAATTGTCAAGCAAATTGAAAAATTGCCAGAAAGAAAAAATCTGAAAAAATAGACGAACCCTATTTATTGTTGTTCCAGTAAAATCAATTTTTGCAATTTTGTAAAACTTCGACAAATCTCATGGAACTTATTCAGCGACATCAATTTTATCCACTATAAAATTAGGTCAAAGAAATTAACTGATGCTGTCAACCTGCTTGTACTTCTTTCTCTTGTGACACTCTGGTTATGAGCTCTAATAGCCAGCAGAGCCAACCGAAACAGAATAAATATACAAATAGAAATAATAGGCGCTAAAATTTATTAATTTTCGAAACACTTTTGTTTAACTTTTAAAAAAAATTTTCCCAATCCCAACAAAGGCGATCACATCAGACGAATCTGGAACTTGTTAAGTCTATAAAATGCTAATGTCTCTCTCGGTAAATCCAGTGGCTCCACCGATGAGTAGTTATCGTCTTTGGCTCCGTGGCAAAGGAGCAAAATTTGAAATTTGATTTACCGACTTGATTTTTTTATTTAATTTGTTATTAAAACAATTATAAGACCTTAAAAACTCGAACGAATCGCCAAGCAGCGAATGGCCCCGTCCATATGTAAAACAAATCAAACGGTAGAACTGATATAATGTCCATCTTAAATACAGTGCTTCTGATGTAATTTTTCAGTGTTTCGTCTCTGTTTGTCTTAAAAAAAATTAAATCGATCATTTTATTTTAAATATCGAATTATGAAAAGAAAAGAAATTTTATTTTTACCACAGCAATTCCACTTCGCATAAACTGAATTCTCGGCTTAATGGCCATTAAATCAACTATATAGAAGAAGTCAGAGAAGTAATCACAAATGAGCCAATATATAAGATTCGATTCAGTTTGATATGGATAACTACTACGTAAAGGTATTCCAAAAGCGTTGTACAAGAAGCAAACGACGACAAAGCTTAACCACATTAGGTAAAAACGACCTAAATTTTTTGAAGCAATTTAGTGATTAAATAATTACGATGATTTACTGAGATATATGGAAATCACTCTTTTCTTCTCTCTTAATCAATCAAACGGATAAAACGATCCATCAATATTTTTGCTTCAAAAGAAGCTAATCAACTTCGTGCAACTTCAGAGTTCAATGGAAATAAATGGAAATTTCTAGGAGATATCGAAAAAGCTCCGATGCTTTTTTTGAAAAATATCACAATATGCGGTCATTTCCTAGCATGCAAAATTACCTTGTGGATCAATGGTGTCAGGAAATAAAATTCTCTTCGAATTATTCGACTGTGCTGGTGCGTTTTGCTAAAACTTAGTTTATTATAAAATAAATTTTGAACACTGGCTCGTGGTACTATATTTAATAAAACTATATTTATCGATTTAATACAATGCTCAATTGGAAGTGCCGATGCTGATAATAATTTTTAATGGTACTTTTCTCGTATAGCGCCAGCGATAAAATAGAGATATGAAAAGAGAAAAGGGAAAAGAATGGGAAAAAGGAAAATTTAATGATGTTGAATACCCGCAGGAGTAAGCCTATCCAAAAATGCGGGTAATGCTGGCTCACCTGTATTTCTATCGCCAAGGGACCCCTGGCATATCTGTCCAATGCGATAAGCCAACGGAGTGAATTAAACCAGTGAGGTCCCTTAAAAAAAATAGGTTGAATGAAAAGAGAGCTTGGCTTCATTTCTGTCGGAAAAACTAATTAGAAAATCCGAGTGGTGTTGGGACGCATTTCTACTATAAGTAAGTCCTAATGACCAGTGAAGCCTACGAAACAAGAAATGCTGTTAGATGACGAAAAATTCCTCGAGATTATAAGGTAAAATATGAAAAACTTTTTTTGGAAAATGCAAAAGGAATTTGATGACCTGAAGTCCAATCAACGACATCAAACTCGGTCGACGCTGGTTTGTTTCTACTGTATTGTCAGCTATAAACGATTCCTCGTCTGAGTCTGATTCACGAGTGATTTCCTCGATTAACTAAAAAATCGTTCTAACATGCAATCGATGAAATGTAAAGTCGTGGATCTCATCATTCAGTTCAATTTTTCTTTTGGATTTAATTAATAGTATTAAAGTGATAATTAAAGTGATAATTTCAGAAGAAAACACTGCTATTCATAATTTAGTTCCAGAAAAACTTTAAGAGTGAAGAAGGTGAGGTTTGCGTTGAGGAAAGAAGTCTTTTAGTTTAATATTTTCCATCTTTCTTATAAGGAGAGAGAATAATTGAATGGTTGTTGTGCAGATTATTGCCACGAGAATCACGAGTAAGCTTATCACTGAAGAATCAGTATTCCTAATCTTTTCGTTTCCTCTCTCATCACCTAGTATAGCAAGCTTAACGGTGAGCTTTAGCTACTTAGTTATTTTACCACTTTGACTACGTAAGGCCACGATCGAGGCTTTTTTACAGTCATAATATAACCTAAAACCATTCTTTCAATAGCACCAAAAGAAACGAAAACTATGCCGTCTCTGGAAAATGTAGCCTTGACGCTTTGGATCATAATATGGTTTTCTCTTTCTCTCATTCACATTATTTTGCCAGAGAATTAGAAAAAATAAAAGAATAGTTTCGAATGCTAAGCTATTTTATTTCCAAATTTATTTCTAAAACCTTGACGTGAACCAACTTGTCATTGGTGATCATTGGTGCCTATTCTGATAGTTCGTCTGCATACCTACCTTCAAGTGGTTATTATTGTTAACAGAAAAAGGAGAAGGCTCAAGAATATCAATCTCTTCATCTAGTTTTACCTCAGATGTTCTACGCCGAATATTTCCAGCGAAAATATGAAGCTTCTCTTTGACAATGAAAGATAGCTCCGATTGACGGTCTTCTTCAAAACTTTTCCATTGTTTCAGACCTCCATCATCGGTCTGATTTGGATCCGAAGTGATTGAAACTGAATCGCCTTTCTCGATAGTAACTCGCATTTCCAAAGTCGGACAACTGAAAATAAGAATTTACTAAACGAGAATTTGGTCACGATTTCAAAATAAAATTTCCAATATTTTTCTGGAATAAACTGGACGAACTCGAATTTTTTCTAAATATATTTCATTCGCATAAATTTTTTTCTGTTTGTATATTATTGTTCTTAAAATTTAGCCTTAAACTAAAGTACAAATTAGGCATCGCTGATTTAAATACAAACTATATTCGAACAAATATGAAATTGCAAATTACAAGTAAATAAAGCGAATTTATTAGTTCAAAGCTAAATTATCGGAATGAAAATAAGACTGAATTATCGGAACCCATTTCATTTTTTTACCCAACTTTTTTAAAGTTTTAAAGTTTTGTTTTTTTAAAGTTAAAATAAATTTTAAAAAAAAAGAACGAGAGCTCCCGTAAAATCTTTGTGTTTATTCACTATTCATGAAAATCTTATAAATTTATAAATTTTTCTGAGTTAATTTGAATTTAATAAAAATTTTGATTTTCTCAGCAGAATTTTATTCTTTTCAATTTCACTAGTTTGCTATGTCGTAGGCCTTCTTTTCTTCTCTTTCTGATAGTCTTTCTAGTACCACTGATGGCCTAGCTGTTCCATAAGCGATTAGGATACTGTAAATCTCATATTAAATTCATATTAACGCATCATTAAGCATTGCTTTTTATAAGTATTGCTGTATTGTGATATTTCCTAAATATAGATCAAAAATTTTAATTTCTTCACTCTTATGATATTGAATAAAATTAACAATAAACTAAAATATTAGGACTTAATTATATCGATGGTTTAATCGATTCCGGTAGGATAATTTGGCGTGCAAATTGAAAATGGCAAGAGTTGTCGATAGTAAAGGATTAGAAGCACTGAAGGATAGAAGGCTTTATTAAATCATCTTAAAGTCAAGTTTAGTTCGGAATTAATAATTAATAAAGTCCCTTTATTATAAATCAGATTATTTTGGTCGAATGGACAAGAGTGAAAATTAGTCATTAAAAATCGCTAGTTAGGGCGTTCTCCGTCTTCAACCACAGGAGTTGACGCATATTTCGTTATTTGCTAAACCCTGTAATAAATAGTAGCATCAAAAGCGAGGTGGGCCAATCAAGACCTGGATTGACATGGTCAGGAAAGAACGTATAGGTGGACCAGCAATATACGGACTCAGACGATGGAAAAAGGAAAGAAAGGACCGGGTAGCTTGGAGAAGCCTTACCCTTGTAGCCAACGGAGCCAGCACCACTAATGGTAAGAGCTGTTAGATGAAGAAGAGGAAGTCATTAAAAGTTAAATCGAGGTGATACTCTCATATTATCCACAATTGACGAAAAGCCTAGTAAATAAGCCTAGTTGAGCGAAAAAACAGCGCGCGTTATTAAAAAAGATGGTTCAAAATCCAAAATTGAGATGATTTAGGCAATCGTAACAAAATTAACCAAGCAGTGGAGGAAAAAAACGGCGAAATCTGTGGATACGGATAATCTCTATAGAATATATAGAATATGATATTTATATATATTTATATGTTTTCGAAGCTACCACATCTTTTCCATGTTTGATATTTTATGCTACAATATATTTCCTCAAGAATGGCTCAACAGGTTTTTGCTCAATTCGGGATGCTGAGGTTCCCCTTCTCATAGGAGCAAACCTGTCAAAAAAATCCGGTTAATGCTGGCGACTCACCTGTACTTCTATCGCCAAGCGACTTGGTTTATTTAAAGTGAAGCAATATGGTGAGGGCTCCTAAATTAATAAATCTTACCTTAGTGGCGATTTTTGTAGTGGCTCATCATTAACGTTCATTTCGAATGGAACGGTTTGCTTTTCTTTCTAAAAATGAAATAAATCGGGCTTTATCGATGAATCTGTCGTTATATGTCAGTCCACGTCTGCGGTTACTCTCTTCGCATAGATACATCGTACAACTTTCGTCGATCACAATGCCACCGCCGACGAAAATTTCTCGCTGTTTGTTGCGGGGGATTTTAAAAAAAGTATACTCGATAAGGAAGCAGGTGGAGCTATTTATGTCCTTTGTATGAGTAACAGTAAAAATAACTAGCTTATTGCTGATTACAGTCAGCAGGAATCAACAGTCATACATACCTTCCTCGTTCCTTCTCTGACCACAAAAAATCGACTACCGTTAATATAAAATCGTGGTGGTTCAAGAAAGGGCAATGTGAAAAATTTTGTGTTTAAAGACTCGATCTGTTAAATGCATCGAAAAGAAAACATAAGACGATACATTCGAGAAAATACGAACTTTTGACGAAGAATTTTCGGATCGACTGGGAGTTTTCAAGGCTCCGTCACAACTTTTTTAGCACCATCATCGCAAATTGCAATTGTCGCCTTCGTTGCTATGGCATCTCCCTTGTCCATCGTGCAAATTCATATCACGGAAATCAATTTATGAAATAGTTTTATTCATAAATAAACATAATCACCCATAAGAATTTGTTTAAATTTCTATCCTTCTGATATGCATTTTTAAGTAATAAAGTTATTTCTTGAAAAAATCTTCAAAATTCTATTCGACTTAAACGAATTCAAAAAACGGACGAATTAAATTTTTAAATAATTGGAAAAAAGTAAGTTTAATTACATTTCAGTGAAATTAAATTAGATTAAATTAGAATATGAATTACGCCATTTTGCATTCAAATATCGCTTGGATGAAGTTGGAAGTGATAAATATTTTAGCAATTTCTTAGAATAAATTTGCTTTAATAAATTTCAATTTAGTAATTTCTATTTTTAATTGAATTAAATTTGGATTTTAAGTATTAAAATTATTTTTATTGAAATGCTTTATTCAATCCGAAAAAGCCCAAAAACTTGGAGAAGAGACAAACCTAAATTCAACTTTAATTCAACTTTAAAGACATTGTTTGCACATGATTTCGCATTCCTTGAAATTTCCCAAAATCTACATTACAATTATAAACGGACGATACTTATCGACCACGTTTTGCAAAGGATTGGGCCATGGCGTCGGATTACTCTGTCTTCTTTATAATCATTAGTTTTTCATCCCTTCTTACGGTTACCATTTTATCAAGTTCGAAGACCTGTCTTTTGGAAGAACTGAGGCAGTCATTGGAAGTGAAGTCGGGGTGGCTGGTGGAGGTCTACCTGTGATTCTATCTTCAAGCAGTCGCCTGAGAAAAGGGTTCTCATCCTAGCAGTCAGTTAAATCAGAAGTTGTGAGTGCTGTTAGAAAGAAAGAAAAAAGGAAGAGGTTCAAGCTAAAAGATTTGTTATGCAGTCCATTTTATAGCTCTTTTAGAGAAGATTGTCAAATTTCGGACGACGCGAAACCAAACATTTCCTAAAAGAATAAAGGAGGGTCGAAGAGAAGAGTGCATTAGCGAGCAGCGTACGATAGTTAATGTCTGTCATATAATTTACATTATTATTAATTGTAATCATTTTGACAGTTTGTCGATTCTGATTGTACCCCATTGGCTTTTGGTTACACGATGGGAATATTTTGGCGATAGAAGTGCAGATTGATCGCAGCACTGTTAGGGTTATTAATGACAAGATTGCTTATTTTTTATTGCCATAGGTAGTGGTCAAGCAGAGCCTCTTGAGAGGACAGTTTGAACCAGTCGGTTGCTCTGTTTCGCTTAATCTTTTGATTCTCTGTGATTTGAATGATTAGTGATTTTTCAGATAATACAGATCACCGAAGAAGAATTCGATATTTCGGTTTTTCTTTTTCTTTTTAAGAAAGAAAGAATTGAGGCCAATAAAAATATTTATAGAAAAAAACATTAAAATGTCCTTGAAAGCGGCCGTTTTAGTTGGTGGTGCATGGAAAGGTAAATGTTTGTCGCTGCTGTTCTTCTTATTTTAATATATTCACTATTTTTATTTTTTCCGATCGTTATTATGGCCTACTTCGTCTCGAGATGCCCCCTTCGTCTATAAAGCTTTTAGGTACACGGTTTCGTCCATTATCGTTGCAGTTACCTAAACCTTTATTTCCTATTGCTGGTGTTCCGCTTATCGAACACCATATCGAACAGCTCTCTAAAGTTAGTTGTTTTTCATTTCTTTATATTCAGAAAGTTTTTTTTGTCGTATGAATTTCGAAAGGCTGATGAATGTTCATTTACATTTATTTTATTTGTTTTCAATCAATTACTTAATTTAATACTTTAAAAGTTAATTTTTCACTTTTTTAGAAAATTTAAATATTTTAAAGAATTTAATCGAAAAATATAAATTAAAAAAGTGATTTGTGCAGCTTACAAGTCTCACGGAAATATTTCTGATTGGATTTTATCCGGCCAGACAATTCGATGAATTCATTTACGATTGCGAGGCGAAATATTCTATCAAAATTAGGTGTTTTTTTTGTATTAATTTTTGATTATTCAGTCAAATAAGATAGGTTTTAATTCAAAAAAATTCTATGATTGCTGATTGTTACATCATATTTTTTAATAATTCTTTTGAAATAATTGTATATAAATAAAATCTGAAAAAATTAAGCGAATAAAATTGGTTGACTTCTCTTTTGGTAATTTTTGATTGTTCATAAAATTTTCTTGATTGAAATAAATGATTATAGATATTTGGAAGAATCAGAAGCTCTTGGTACTGCGGCTGGATTACATTATTTTCGTAAAGAAATTCTTCACGACAATCCGTCAGCAATATTTGTCCTAAACGCAGATGTTTGTGGAGATTTACCTGTATCAGAAATGGTGGTTGAGTTAGAGCGAAAACCAGATGCGCAATGTCTGTTGCTTACAAGCGAAGCCACTCGGGAGCAATCAGTCAATTTTGGTTGTGTTGTGATCGATGTTGATGGAAAAGTATGTTATCTGTGCACTTATTGTGCATTTAGTACTTAATTATTTATATGTGTTATGTTTATGTTAACGTAAATAACGTAATGTAAATAAAATTCTTATCAGTTTTACTATTAGTTTATCAGTTGAATATGTCAACTGGTCAAAATAATTAAACAACTCAACTGATCATAATAATTATTCAAAATTCGAAATTTTCAAGATTTTTACTTATATTATATTAAAATAAAATAAGCGATTTGGCAAGGTTTAAAATCAAATTTGCCATAGAAAAGAAATTATTTAATTAAAGTAACTCGCTTTGGGAATTACTATAGGTTTTGCATTATGTCGATAAACCAACAACTTTTGTATCACAGCATATCTCTTGTGGTGTTTATCTTCTTCGCAAAGAAGTGATTGATAGAATTGGTAAAGCTCTGAAGAATTCTGAAACTCGGCAGGTATACATCGATTATAGCGAAAATTTTCATAGAATTGAAAAATATTCAAATAGTTGCATGATTTATTTTTTGTTAATGAATTCAAGGTTTGGTTCGAAACAGAAATATTTCCACAAATGGCTGCCGATGCATCGATCGTTGCATTACATACAAATCGTTGGTGGAGTCAAACAAAAACAGCTGCGTAAGAATTATTTTTTTATACTATTAACGATGAAGATATCAAATGAAGGTTTTAGTGCTGTTTTGTATGCAAATCGTCATTATCTTCGCTTATATCGATCATCAGATTCGCCTAGATTGTGCAGAAATCGAGCTCAAATAATTGGCGATGTGTTCATAGATTCTTCCGCTGAAGTAAGTTTTTGAAATTTATTTGTTCTCTATGTAGGAAAATAGGAAAAAAATTTTATTCTCTCTAATTTCGATTTATATCTGATCTATTTTTTAAATTATTTGCAGGTAGATCAAACGGCAAAAATAGGTCCGAACGTTAGTATAGGTGCAAAAGCTCGTATTGGAGCTGGAGTACGAATAAGAGAAAGTATTGTATTGGGTGAAGCAATTATTAATGAACACGCATGTATCCTACATTCAGTAATTGGATGGCGTAGTGTTGTTGGAGCCTGGGCAAGAGTTGAAGGTACTCCGATATCACCAAATCCAAATATACCATTCGCAAAACTTGATAACAAGCCACTGTTTAATGTTGATGGTCGCCTTAATCCTTCATTAACGATTCTTGGTTCAGATGTTCATGTACCTGCTGAAACGGTTCTTTTGAATTCTATTGTTTTGCCTTATAAAGAATTAAGTTCCAGTTATAAGAATCAGATCATTCTTTAAAAAGTTTATTAAAACACAAAAAAACTAAAGAATTTCAAGTATATAATACAAAACTTGCAAACGTTGTATCATCGGCATCATACAAAAATATATACGTAATAAAACAAAATAGATTACAAAAGGGGCTAGATAAGGCAGTTCCCAATTTATATGTACCCAGTGGTAAGTTTAGAGAGATTGCGCATTGTTTACAGATATTTTGGTGAATAAAAGGTTTTAAGTAGGATAAAATATAAGAGTGAGGCTAGGTGAGCTAGTTCAGTAGAAGCTCTTTTTCTTGTGCCACTGTTTATCCGTTATTTTTGTCCTAGATTCTTCTTATTGTATGCCATTATTTAACCACCACATTGGCTGTATGCCCTGTTTCTCTTTCACTTTTGTTTATAAATAAAGTCTTTTTATCTGTCTCTATTGACTTTATTAAACGGTGAGATTTTCTTCATTTTTCACATTTTTCTATTTTTTATAAAATACTTATTGGTTGTGAGGTTTTTTTGTTATTTTTATTGTTCATAATTCATAATTTTTATTTATAATATGAAAAAAGAATACCAAATTTTGAAAGGGAGAGTGACTACTATGATTATTGCCTTAAGAATCTCGGATTCAGATTACCGCCGACGAAAATAAATTCGGATGGTGCTGCTGAACCGAACCACCTGTACTTCCATAGCCAAGTGACTCTTTTATAAGAATTGTGAGCACTAACCATTGATTTATCGAATTCTTTAAAAACCAAAGTTTTAAATCAGAAGTTTTCGAAGTTTTTTTCAGAATAAGTTGGAATTCATAAGTTGAAAACAAATAAAATTTTTATTTGTTTATTTTTGTAGCAAAGATTTTGTTTGTTCCTCGGCCAAAAATCCGTTTATTTTAAATTTAAAGTGAAAATGGAAATTAATTAATTCTTAAGGGAATCGATTAAATAAATTTTCTTAAAATATATAATTTATTTATATAAACAAATATTATTTACACGAACAATTAACTGAGGCATTTCAAAATCATTTAATGTCCATGAAAACTGCTAAATCAGATTCTTAGAGGCCATAAAAGAGGTGAAATTTTATAAATATCAAAAATTCGGGGAAATTCTAAAAATTTGTAGAAAAGACCGAGCCCGAGGTCTGGCTGGTGCCTAGGGCTGGGACTGCCCTTGCAGTGGCTACCATTTGCTGGAGAGTTTGCTGCGAGAGTTCAGATGACATTCACCAATATAAACCGACTCGTATTAAAAGCTCGTTTGAAAATCGATTAATATTTCATCGTTTATTTATCGATCTGTTATTAAAATTCATTCACATACATAAACTTGTTTACCACTTGAATTATTGTTATGAATAGCGATTCTGCGTTGGAGAGCACTTTTCGGTTAAACGGCCAGCCAGTGAATAAATGATAAATGTTAAGTTAGTAAGATGAGTAATCAAGGCACCGCACTTCCCTTATGAATAGTTAGTCAACAGAGCGGATAAAAAGTAGAGTGGTACTTTTCCGTTAAACGACCAGCCAGCCAGTTGGTAGAAAATATAAGAAAAGAGAAAGAAAATGTCCAATTGATAAATCGAATGTTATTGAAATTTCGGCGAAAACAACAATAAGAATAATAAGAATGGCAGTGCAGCTGTAGTTCGCCGTGCACTTTCCTTGCAATTTGCCTAAGAGTTGGCGCTAACCCCTGTAAATTTAGCCTGAGCCTGGAGAACTTCCTTGTTTGTCCAAATCCCACTCCTCCTGTCCCACTCTTTTCGCAAAGGTCAACCAGTCAAATAAAAAATACTGGGTTCATTTCTCGGAACTCGGAAATTACTGTCAGCGATTTTTATTATTTATTTCCGAATAGCATCAATGTCGACCCAACTATTGATCAATTTTGCGATAACATCGACATTTGACCTCTTGATTTTATTCACTTTTGACCTTTAACCCTTTATGATGGTTTTTTTCCTCGGGGCGCATTCCTTCTTTAATTATTCTTATAATTGTTGGTACTCAACTTTTTCATGTTATATTGATGAATAGTTTGATCTTTTTTTCCATATTTTTGCAATTGTAATTTGCAGTTTCCAATTATATTTGTGATCGTTAACTTGTTGATTTGAATTGATTGCTTGCCATCTTCAAAATAAACGGGTCTGCTGTACGCGAGCAATTGACAAATGGATAAATGACCGACATGAATTGCATTCCAGCAATACAAAGAAGAAAGGAATTCAAGAATATACAATTGTGAAATAAAAAAAGAAGAGCATTACTCATCGTTTTTTCAAATTCGTTATTTTTCGAATCATCTCAACTATTTGTCTTGAAACGTCTGGAAGTGGGTCAGGCTACTCGACACCGGGTCGGGTCATGTTGAGTCAGACCGGGTTTGAATTAGTTCCACTTGTGGACAAAATAGTCGATTATCGCTATCAAATAAATGCTCGTTGGCTCATGGTGGAGTTAATTGTTGTTGTGAGTGCCCTTCCGGAGTGCCCTTACTGGGTTTTCTACTCCCGCCAGGAGTAAACCTATTAATCTTTCAAAAATCGAAATGATGCTAGCCACATCTGTACTTCTTTCGCCAGATAACTCAAGGTCAAGGTTTCGCAAAGTCTGTCTGGTTGTACAAGCCAGCGGAACAAATCTGAACTGAGTCTGACCAGCTCCTGGAAAACCAAAACTAATTTGGATCATTTTCCGCTGGTTATTTTCGCTCGTTGATCGCTTGTCGGTTTCTCCAAAGCAACTTAGCTTGAGTCGCACGTTTTCCGCTTCTCTTCAGTTAGCTTTCCTGGTCGTATTTTTTCCAAGGTCCATTCATTTGTTCTCTGTCCACTGTGCGTTGAAGGTTCCCCTCCTTAACCAAAGTTCCATAATTCGGAAGTCTCTTTTTGCCTTTTTTAGTCCTTTAACCTTGTATGCACACAAAACGACCTGAAATAATACTTTTTCTGCTCTGCTTTTCGTTATAGATTTTTTGGCGGGAAATTAAAAGGTACAAACAAAGAAAAGAGGTGCGCGGCGACATTCGTCGAATATTCGCCTTATTTGCTTTGGTTCGGGCTTGTAGTGTTTCTGTTCATTGAAGCGTCGAGGAACTAGCCTAGACAATCTCGCGGAAATTTGTTTTCTTCTCCCTGCTCCTTGATGACATTATGATTCGCCCATCTAGCTGGACTCCGGCCAGGATGCTGGCATAAATCTAATATTCAAGCTAAGGAAGATTTTGGAACATTGTTTCTATCGCGCCATTCCTTGTTTCTTTGAATTCTTCGCTACGTTCGATTCATTTGAGGTGAATTCCTCTGGAGTTCAATTTTCCGACTTATAAAGGAGTTTTAACAGGTTGGATTTACAGACACCACTTGAAGGTGTATAAGTTAATTGAATATATTTCGTCTGTCATGGGTCTTTTGCGTAGTCCTTTGCTGGCAGTTGTGAATAAATGCAAGAGGAACTAAGCAGTATGTCGGCAACGAAAGCGAAAATTGAACTCAAGAGCAATGCAAATAAGAACTTTTTCTTCTTTTATTTGATGCTAATAAATTATCTATTTCAATTCATTGCGCGTTAAGGAAGAATTGGCAGGTTTAAACACTTTGGATCCACTTTTGTACTAAATGGCCTAGCGAAGGACGAAGTTGTAGCCCGAATAAGCGTAACTAGAAACGCGTTCTTTCGCCTCTATGGAATAGTCGAGAAATCATCAAAACAAAAGTTCGCAGATCATCTTGTTCTGTAACCGTGGAACATGCTGAGAGTGCTAAGAAGCTGTTAAATTTTGCGCTAAAACACGTATTCACCGAGCAGATTAAATCTCCCCATTTATATCCATCTTCGCGCAAATATTATCGGCATTCAAAATACTCGTCACACAGCGTCTCCTATGCTGGATTAGGCCATGCTCCGTGCCGCCGATCTCATATTGCATGTCTCGACTTGCTAAACCCTGTTGTCCAGGGCCTGAACCAATACAAAATCGAAAGGTAAAATGGCCATGGAAATTCGTTTTGATGATTTACAAAAAAATTCACAAAAATGAAGAAAAATTTCTGTAAAAAGATGCAGAAAAAAATTAAAATTTGTGTTAACTGGGTGATTTCGAGTAAATTATTTTTTGACGTTAAATTTTTATGAAGAAAGGCAAATTTTTTTGCAGATTTCTCGTACTTTACGAATTTTCTATGCGTTATTTGCCTAATTTTTTTTTCTTGGAACAACGGAATTTTTAGAGTTAAAATGGATAAATTTAAACGTTTCACATTTCAGGTTGGTTCTTTTATTTTTTGCCTTATTTTGACAAAGAAACAACGAAGAGGACAGGACGCATTGTTTCGTTCTTCCAGGCTCGCTAGGCTGGGTTTAGGCATTTCCATGTCTTTTGATCCGTTGGCATATTTGAGGTAAAATAAGCCAATTCCTTTTCATCGGCCAAGGCCGCCAGGTCACTGGATCGCTTACGTATTGAAAATTTGTTTCATTCGTGTTGATTCTTCATGTCGATGCCATCCATTATGGAGTTTAGCAAGTAGTCTTGAAAGTAAACAGGAAAATAAGTAAATATATGTGAAGATTTATAGTGTTTATTAAAAAAGAAATAAATCAAATCAGTTAAAACAAAGAAAGAAAATTGTGTAACTTACAGAATTTTCCCAAAATTGAAACTATTTACAGCTTAAAATAGTATGGAATTAGGTTATTTCATTAAATAAAAAGTCATTAAAGAAAATTTCGATTTTTTTCAAAGGTCAAAAGGTCTAAATTAAGAAATTTATGGTGAAAAGAAGAAGGGAGAGTCTTATTGAAGCAAAAAAAATAAAAATTGCTATAAACGCGCTCCACCCCATTGCATTGGATTTTTATCCAAGCAAATGTTTCGCCTTTGCATTCTATTTATATTATTGTTTTTTCGTTTATTTTTTTCCTGTGTATTTTTATAAAAATATTTTGGTGAAGGAGAGGGAGTTAGAGGATGAAAGGAAGGAGAAGAAAAGAAGGGAAAGAGGAAGAGGGAGAATAGGGAAATATGGAAAAGGAAAAAGAGTGAGGAAAGGTAGAAAATTTCGCTGAATTATTTTTTAAATTAATCGGTAAATTTATAAAAATTCAACATTTTTATAGATGCTTTCACCACAGTTTTCGTCATCTCGTTCAAGCCCTGAAGAAGGTTAATTTTTCTTTTAAATTTTTTTCTACTATATAAAATTAAAAATCATTTATTAATCATTTTATCTTATTAATTATCAAATAATGATGCCATGCTATTCTTTTATTTCGAAGAATGATCGATTGAATAATTTTTTTTTCTGATCAAATCACTGATCGATAGTGTGACGATAATAAAAATGATAGCAATGATAATGATTGTTAGCATTTTTTCGACTTCATAAAAAAGGTAGATAATAGATATTTTCCTGAATGTATGGAATATTTCAATTCTTTTTGCAGTGAATTTTATAAAATTTTTAGAATTTTTTTTTGAAATTTTAATTTTGAATTATTTTACATTTTTCGTTAATCTTAATAAATAAATGCTTACCATTCTGGTTAGACTAGTTCCGTTAGTTATTGATGGAAATTTCTATCAGGAAACCACATGACGACTGAAGTATATCTAGATCGCCAGTACCACCCCACCCGCACATTTTAATGACAAGTTTATTCGAAAACAGAGACCAAGTCTTTGCTTCTCAACACGACAGTCAGATTCACTCGGTTATTTGCCTGTAATTATTGTTAATTAGTTCACGTAATAGATTATTATAGATTTATTGCTAAACGTAATGAACATTTTAAATAATAGTACAGAATTACTGAAGTTTTAGGACTACTAAATTTTTATTGTAAACGATCAATAAAAGGACGACGACGATAGTAAAAACGTGTTTTAATATTACCAATTTGGTACAAACATATCATATATAACAATACTGAATAATAACAATATAGAATAGAAGTAGAATTGGCGGCGACCAATGCTTTCATCTTAAATGAATCTCTCGCGAAAAGATCTTTTCCTATTAGCCAGTCAAACTAGAAATGGTGAGTACAGTTAGAAGAAAAAGGAGAAAATTCTGTTCTATAGGCTATTATAATGTATTATAGTATTATGCAAGCAATGCGAATTAATTTTGCGTACTAATAGATTATTTTTCGTTAATTAAGATTTTGCTGCAATCATTATTATCGATGTTTAGTAATATAAAATTTATCTTTTTTTTTTTATTTTCTTTCTCTGAAAAAAATTTTATTTGGAAATGAATTTTTTTAAATGAAAGAGTAGAAAACAAAATTTATCTTTTCCCTATTTTCAAAGTTGGCAAGGACATTGTCGTTGTCGTAGTTTAATCGTTAGTGTTATCATCTTGCGATTGTCATCTGATTTACAACAAGAACGACGGCGAAAACGACAGAGACTGCAACGAAAGCATAGTAGGTGCAGAAGAAGAAGAGAGTGTCTATAATGCCTGGAAATGAAGCCTGCTTTGAAAGTTTGCATTATTACCTGCAACCAATTTCAGATGAACACGATCGTACACAAAAGAACACCTTTACGAAATGGATTAATTTTCATCTTGCAACGGTTCGTTTTTTGCCACTTTCTTTTTTCATTTTTTTAAAAGTCGTTTTAATAGGTATCGCAACAAAAAAGTCAAATTATTTCTTAATCTTTTTTGCATATTTATTTTTTTAAATTGTGTGAATGTGAATTTATTAAGCTTTACATAGTTTATCTTCATTCTTAATATTCTGATTGGTTTGTATGGGTACATTTTTTGGTGAAAGGAAAGGGATTTGATTTAGAAAAGAATGGTACGAATTTCAAGGTGGATGAGTATTTTTTTTGTACAATTTTTTTCTTTGCTCAAATAATTGCGAAAGCAAATTTGTGGTAGCCTTTTTTTGTTCAGTACAGTGGTATTTTCGATGATAATTACAAAGAAAATTAATTTTCGAGGTGATGAAGTTAATCATTGAATTAATTTCTTTCTTATAAGTATTAATCTAAGATTGAGAATTAAATATTTCACTATGATTTTAATGTTCTTGGGGATTTGAAGATTTTAGGAAATTTACGATAAAAATTTCAAGAGCGTCTGAAATGTAAGAATATTTACTATTTAAAAATGTAGATTGTAGATTTAACGCTTGTTTATTAAAAAGAAATTTCATTTTAGAAATTTTAGAAATCTATTCTTTATTATTTGCTATTCATTGTTTTGTCATTAAAAAAATATTTAAAAAAGAGAAAAAAGGTTAAATTTTAAATATTGAACATTGGATAGCAGAAAGTGGCGCAAAAATTTTTTAAGAAATTTGTTGATTCAATGATTTTTGATTTTCTGAACTTTTAATCTATTTTTTCCAGTTTTTATTGGGGTCCATCTTTAGATAAAAAAAATACTTGGAACAAGCCGAAAATATATTCTCAGTAATGTTACTCGTCAATATCACTCTTTCTGACACAAAACCTGTTAAATCTGGTATTCAACAAGGTAGGGTAGTTGTATTGCGCCATTGCTCTTTCTATTATATATAAAGGTGCTACCAATGTGGGACTAAATTCTACTATTTGTCTATATTTTTACCATCTGATTATAGTTATTTTGAATTGTACTATTGAATTGTACTAATTGTATTATATTATTTTGTAGTATCCTCTTTATTTCATCTTTATTTATTATCTTTATTTATTTATTTCATCTTTAAATTGTTTATTTTATTTTATTATTTTTTTGTTTTTGTCATTAATTCTTATTATTATTTTAACTGTTGTTATTAATACAAGCACATGGCGTTTGCGCCCTGCTTGGCTGGTTTTCAATAAATAAATAAATAAATTTGTCTTTCTATCGCCAAGGAATTCTTTGCCATATTTGCTTAGCCCGATAAACCATTAAAGTAAGCCTAACCAACATTGTCTTTAAAAAATTGAATGCTGGCAGATTCGAATTTCGTAAAACGGGTAATTTTGGATTGGAAGAAAATTTCGTTGATTTTTATTTATTTGGAAAATTTAATGTATTTTATGACTGGAAAGGAGTCCTATTTTTCTTTACTTCTTTATTTTTAGTTTGAATAAATTTATCAGAAGTTGATCAAATTTTTTAAAAATTTGATTTATATATTAAATATCATAACCATATTGCCTTTAACTCTTCCGAATCATCCCTTCAAAAAATTTTCCTATAAAAAATTGTTTGGCTAGATCAAGCTATAATATTGCTATAATATTGTTAATTTTTTTCCCATTTAGAAAGGATATTTTGCCAAAGTTAAAGGTTTTTGTAAATCAAATTCATTTCAGCATACTTCGTCAGCTCTTGTGAAAGATTTATTCGAAGATCTCAAAGATGGTGTCTTGTTGTGTCATCTTATCGAAGTTCTTACTGGTGAAGCACTAGTTAGTATCATCTTTTATCCTTTTAAACCTGGCAGCTTGAAATAAAAGAAATTTTCTTCAAATGAAAAAAAAAAATAACAGTGCTTAATAAAAATACTATTCTGATTAAATTAGCTTCTGTGGCTCTTATTACGGTTAGAAATTTTTGCCAGCGATTTACATAACTAGGAGTGGTAATGGGTCGCTAGCACCATCTATTAATAATTTATTTCGAGGATATGTCCGGAGTTTTAATGATCAAACAAGAGTTATTAAATTGTTAGCGTATTTTTAATTCCATTTATTGAATTTTAACAAATTCTTATAATAATAGCCGAATTCAATATGGTGGGTGCATTTAAAAATATTTTAATTTTTTAGCCGATTAATAAAGCAAGGATATCGAAAAGAGTGCACCATATCAGTAATCTAACGACTGCATTGGCAGCACTTCGTCGACGAGGTCTTGATTTAGTGAATAATAATCCAGCGGATTTGGCTGACGGTAATCCTCGAATCGTACTTGGACTAATTTGGCAGATCATTCTCTATTTCCAGGTCTTGATATTAGTGTTTTTAGATATTAGTGTTTCAACGGCATGTTTTTCGAAATTTTTGTGATGCTTCAAAAAATGCTTGAGGAATTTTTCGATTTTATTGTATTTCGTAATTTTTTTCTTTTATTCTTTCGTATACCTCTTTCGTAATCCCTTTCTAAAGTCAATGTTTTTGCTATAGAGGATATTTTAGATTGAAACTAATGCGCAGCTTTTACGAGAATATGGGTTTGAATTAGAAAACTCATCATCTTCATCACAAATATCTTCTTCAACTGTTATAATTAATTCTTTAAATGATTCTTCATCTTCTAAAAATTTTTCTCAACGAACGAGATTTGGTCTTAAAGTGCCGGTTGAAAGAGTTATTTTGCGTTGGATAAATGCTCAACTAAAGTAAATGATTTTATAATAGATTTGTTTCAAATAAGTATTCATTTTTAAAGGAAAAATTTTCAAAAAGTGTAGATAACCGATCTAATTCATCCAAATTTTTTTTCAAAAATTTATCACTTTTATGTGAAAAAAGCTAATGGAAATTTTATAGAGCTTATGGGCTAAATATGACGGATTTGGATCGGTCGTGGAAAGACGGTATTGCTTTTAATGCTTTAGTTCATCGAATCAAACCAGAACTTGTTGACATGGATAGAGTATCTCGTGGACAGCCAAAAGACAATCTTGAACAGGTTTTTCATTAATATTCTTTCATCTTTTTGATTATATTTAATTATTTTGTTGACATTTTCTTATCTTAATGGGCTCAGTAAAGGATTTTCTAAAAATAAGCATTAATTTAGGCTTTTAACCTTGCTCGTGATCATTTAAATATTCGACCATTGCTTGACGTGGATGGTATGTTATGTGAAAAGCCAGATAAACGATCAGTAATAGCCTATATATCACAGTTTATTCGATCATATTCAATGCATCAACCGATTGTGGCAACTCCAGTTATGGACGATCATTCGCTTCTTCAGTGGATAGAAGTAGCATTAATAACTATGCAGGAAACGACTTCTGCGGCAATCTTCGATCGTTATGAGGTTTTTGTCAAATCAGTTTTTTCAGTCGCTATTTTGGAATTTTTTAATTGGAATCATGGGATGTTATGGATTTGATCTGAAACTTTTACTTGAATTTCCAAACATAAAAATTTCAGTTATATTCTCGAATGCGTAAAGAATATTTCGAATATCGTCATGCATATCACATTTTGCGGGAAAAATCTGCATCTCTACCTATTGATGAATGGAATCGAATCGAAACGGGGTTGGTTTATTAACTATTTAATTAATTTCGATTTCATTTAATTTTTATTATATGGTATGGTTATTACCTTGCTCTTTTAAAAATTTTTGGTTTATTTTGGTATTTTTTAATATTTCTCATTTATATGATGATTATTCTGTAAAATATATATAAAAATAATATATATAAAAAAACCTAAAGTTGCTTTATATAGTATATAAAAAAACCTAAAATTGCTTCCATTATAATTTATATTTGGGGAATTTTATTTGTATTTTTGTATTTTATGATTTGGTCTACGGAATTTACGGAATTTTATTATTACATTCTACTGTCTTTATTTGCAGTTGGCGAAAAATTGGTGAATTTTTAACCGAGCAAAGTCATGGTCTAGAAAGTGAATTACCAGCACCACTTTCTGATATAGTTCAGTGGCTTTCTGTTGCTGAACAACTTATTCGTCGATCACTCGACATACGAACTGATGTCGCGCAACAAAGTCTTCTCCGTATAGCTGAAGTTATTAATAACCATAAGGTAGATTTTAAGCAGGTTTTAAGATTTTTTATGCCTCTGTTTTCCTTTAGAATAGGTAAATGAATTGCTGTGCGATAGCTGAGTTTCTGCTCCCGTTATTTGACGGAAAGTGGAGTGTGGATGGTGCCAGAGATCATCCTATATTTCTATAATGACGTGGCTCTGCAGAGGGTTCCGATAGATACGCAACTAATCAGAGAAAGAATATCGTTGAAAGAATGAATTGGATATAGGAATTAATTTGAAAAAAATTTGGTGTTACTTTTAAAGACTATTTTTTATCAGGAATAGAATATTACTTCAGGTTCATTTTTCTCAGTATGCTGTTCATCTAGAACATTTCGAATCGATCTCTAAAAATCTTCATATAAATGGCCGTGAAATACCAGATGAAATCCTTATTCCTTTAAAGAATCGTCTGGATTCTATAGAAATTGAATCAGCGCAAAGATTAAGACATCTTCATTGTCTTTCTGCGCATTATAGCGTATTGGCTTACTTGGAATGGTTAAATCAAACTATACTACGTTGGAAATCTGCGGATTGTTTAGCTACAGCACATCGATATGTCACGGAGTATAAAGTATGTATTGTGGTCGCCATTTTTTTATTTTATTTTATATTTTATCTTTGAAATAAGTGAATTCTCGAAAAATCATCTGGAATCGAGAAATTTCTCATTTTTATTCCAATATTTTGTATCTGCATTTATTCATCATTCAGGATTTGATTGTTTTAGGCTCAGTGTGAAGCAGCTCCAGATAAAAAGTTGAAAAAACTGATCGCAGAATTGAAAAAACAGCTGAATGAAGGTAAAACTCTTCGATTTCAAGAAAATTTCAATCGATTTCATTAATTTTTCAATTTTCCTTCTAATTTTTGCTGTAAATTTTACTTGATTTAAATTTTAAAAAAAATTATTTAAAAATAATAAGTAAAATAGTTTCTGTTAAATTTCCAATCTTAAATTAAAAAAAAACGATTCAGAGAACAAGAACAAAAATTGTTATATATCAAAGAACTAACGAAGCCATTTTTTTTTAAATATTGTATTGTATTGGTTATATATTGATAAAATTCTTTCCATTATCATTATTTTAAAAATTTTTCTTTCAATAAAGCTTAATTCATTTTAGATGAGAAATCACCAGAGACATGCCATCGTATACTGGAACAATGCGAGGATTGTGCGAACGATAGCTTGGAGAAATTCAAGGAAATGAAATCATTCTTAGATACTCTTCTTGGTCTTTGGCGCGAATTCGAAACTTGTTTAGCTAAGGTTTTATTTTGTCGTTATACTTTCTTAACATTTTTAGTCAATTAAATTTTTGGGTTGAATTTCCAAGTCATTTTGATATTTGTCAGTATTTTCATCTTATAATTTTTTTTTTTCTTATAATCTTTAATCTTATATTTAATCTTATAGTTTTTCTGTAGATTGAGGATAGGGTTGGACGATCCGAAAGAGAAAAAAGAAATTTGATAGATACAGAGGCTACCGAGTGGTTGCGGCGATGTGACCAGACACGTGAAGCGATCGAACGAATGATTGGTCAACGAGGTTCTGGTATTCCCAGAGAACGTCTAGCGAATTTGACTAATCGTATTAATAAATTAAGCAAGGTATAAAATTTTTTAATAAAAGATTTGTAACAATAAAAAATTAGAATGCTTTCAAAATGCCTTTTTTCAACGATTCTTCTATGAGTCCTTTCTAGAATTTCACATTAATTTCACATTTTTTGCAGTATACTTCAAGCGGTCGTATGATGATGAGTGAAGAAAAGAATGTTTCATCTCGTATACCTAAAGCTAGATCTGATTTACCCCTTCATCAAATAACTCCTTTTACTAAAGAAAAAGAAACCGTAAAGCCAAAGTCTCCTTCGGCTCCTTCAGACAATCGACTTAAAACATGGATGGATAATGCAAATTCGGCTTTATTAATTAAAATCTCCAGTCTCGCAACTTTAAATGAAGTTTTGCAACGAATTCATGTTAGTTTTTTCAGTTGTTTTTCTTTTAATAGTTCTCACCATGACTGGTTAGACTGGCTGCAAATATAAAACGTTTTCAAGGCGCGCTATCGATGCCATCACCGATAGTAATAGAAGCCATCCTTTTTTTCCATCGTCTTTGTCCATATATTGCTGGTCCATCTATGTTTCAAATCTTTCGTGTCAATCCAAATCTTAATTGGCCCCACCTCGCTTTTGATGCCACTCATCACAGGGTATAGCAAGTAAGAAATATATGTAAATTCTTGTGGTGAGTGACAAAGAACTTGCCATGTCCAGCGAAGAAGGCGCTGATCTGTTATAGTACTGTTGTAATGTAAATGGTATTTGAACGAAGATGATGCGATGAAATTTTATGCACTCGGCGAACCCGTAAAATGTATCTTAGACATGTGTGATCAAAGGCAGTTAACCTCATAACGTCTTAATATCCTCCACTCTCATTGGCCATGGCAGCCATATAGCAAGATCGAACGAATCGCGGCTATATGCGGTTTAGTTTTTATGGTGATCTCGCGACAGCTTCATAAAGGTCTCGTCAACCAGAAGAACCCATTTATAGATGTCACTATCGGGATTGTAATTTCGTCTTTTGCCTGGCCATAGTTTTTTCAATTAGTCAACCTTATCTTAAATTTATATTTAAATTTATAGAGACGAAATAATAGATATGATTTTAAATACTTCTATACTTTTAAAAATATCAGATTAAATTTTATAGGGTTGTCAAGAAGACCTGCGATTAGTAGAATCTGAACGAATGGCATTAGTGAAAGCAAGAAATATCTGCGACCAGACTGCAATGAACTATCGCAGACTTCGGCAAGAACTTCAAATTCATCTTCAAAATATTGCAAAGATTCAACCTCTTTTCCAATCTTTTGAGAAGAATTACTCTACGGTTGAAAACTGGATAAATACAAAGGTAAGAATTTAAAATTGAAATTGAAATTGAAATTTCCTTCGATCTACAGAGTAGAAAAAAATTCAACACTTAATAAATTCACACTTAATATTAATTTCCATGGAATTACAATTACAGTTATTCGCTTATTCATTCCCAATTCCCAATTTTATTCATTTTTAAAGGAATTAATTAAATATACAGTAATTTACATCTTTACTTTTTTGCTTGCAATGAATCCGCTTATTTCATGTTAATTTTAATTTTTAAATTAAATTTAAATTAAATTTTTTAATTTTTTTTTAATTTTTTAAATTTCTTTTAAATTTTTGAGTGAAATATTTCATTTTTTCATGCAGTAGAAAGCGAATATTCCGTGAAAGGAATATAAACCAATATTAAATTTTTACTATAAAATATTTTGAATTTCGCTATTAACAGATTGTAGTATTCTTTATTCATTTCTATTCAGGAAAAAGATATTAACGAAATTAAAAGCAAGAAGGATTTAATTGACCATATGGAATTGTTACTTGCCATACTATCAAAGGAAGAATATTCCGCATGGATCGATTTCAGAGAATTGCAGGAAAGATTAAACAAACTTCAGCATCGTTTCCAAGTTTGTCCATTATTTTAAATTTTAACTTTTAAATACTTTTTTAATTTAAATACTTTTTTGAAATATTATTTTAAAATGCTAACGTGAGTTTAAAAAAAAAAAAACAGAAAAGCGAATTTTGATTTTTTATTTTTCTTGCAAAAAAGAAAAAACTTGCTTCGAAGTTCGACTGATAGCATTCCATTCAATTTGATATATTTTTTAATTTCAAAAAATATTCGTTTTATAAGTATAAATTTGCAAGAAGAGATTTTAAAGAAATTTTTTTTTGCTTTATATTCTTAAATTTTTTTGCTTGGAAATTATTAATTTAGAAAGTGAATTTTATAAAAGAAGGTTCCTTAATCGATTTTTATATATTTTTAGCATTTTTATTGATATTTAAATTAAGATAAATAATGTAAAGTACTAATGAAAATCAATAAAAAAGACGATGATAGAGATTTAAATGAAATAAAATATTGTAATTTGTCAGTGAAGTAATAAATAGATGGATGAAGAAGATTGTTTGCTTTCGAATCATGCATCATTTTATGTTAAATGAGAGTGATTGAACTTTAGCATTAAACGTGATTTAAAGTTTGATTTTTTTTAAAAAAAAGTCGATTTAGATTGATCATTTTGAATAATAATTTGACAAGGAAAGTTAGTGTTTAATTTGATTTGAAATAACGGAATAAATTTATTAGGAAATGAAAAAAAATTTCGAAAGTGATACGCAAATTAAGCAAGACAGTGATAACATTAGAAGCACTAGTATGTTGCTTTGCTTATCACTTTTACTTTGAGGATATCATGGATCCCATTTTTGTCTGTCACCAGGAAAATCGGATTCTTATTAAAAATCCGATTGGTTATCTTCTCAAGTTCGGATCAAACTGTTTAAAATGTTGTGTAAAAGAATAAGTAATAAAATTTAGAATATATAAAACGTTTTTAACAATTGATCTTGCTAGTGCCAGATTGAAAAATTTCTTTCAAAGACTAATATTAAAAATATTAAAATATAATATTACTAATATTAAAAAATTTATTTATTATCGGAGAATATTGGTAAATATTTTTTATAGGAATGTGAGAGAATTGTTGAACGTGAATTTCATGCTCAAATTGGGGTAAGTTTTACCAATCCATTTATCCAGTCCCAATCCTTTTATATTCATTCAGCAACTCCGATCCGACAGACTGCTATAAATTTATGTGACAAAAATTTTTTTTTTAAAACTAATCCATTTGGCTGCAAAATTGTATGATGAAAATTTACTTCCACTTAATGTATCATCGGAGAAAAATAACATTTTTCGGTTTTTTTTTATAAAACAGCTTTTATTGATTCGTGCATCACTTTCCATTGATTTTCCATAATAAATTGAGAGAAAAAATTTTTTGTCTCGAAATTTGTCAATACCGAAATTTTATCGGTTTTAAACTTCAAAAAACTCCAAAAAATTAAAGAAAAACACATTTTTTCCGATAAAAAATGTTTTATAGAAAAAATAATTAAACGACTAGTGTTTATATAGTTTTAAAAAATTGGCCTAATGAAAGAAATTCAAATGTGAAAACATTATTAATTTTTTATATTTGTATTGGAAAAAAACGAATCGACATCTGTAATAACAAAAAATAATCATTAGTGTGATAAATTTTACATCAGTTTTTTACCTCCTTTTGATTAATTAAATTAATCTCTGTTTAATAAAAATAAATTTGTAGGCAAAAATACTGGAAGAATTAACGGAAAAATGGAAATTTATTGAGAGAAAAGAAAATAATTTAAATGAATTCGATGAAAGCGTTAAACAAGTGAAAATAATAGATCAAAAACTCGATGAACATATGAGTCGTATTCGAGAAGAAAAATCAACGAGGAATATAGATGATGAAGAAATAATAGACGATAAGTTCGAGCTAAAGTTGTCCTATGATGAATGGCAAAAAAAATACGATGAAGGAATGGAATTGAAAATGATCTCATTAAAAATCATTGAATTGCAAGAAGTATTACTACGAGGAACAACATTGGACAAATTACAATTAGTTGATGACGAAATAAAATTGTTAATAAATAAATTTGATTCGATAAAATTAAAAAGTACCGAGCTATTAAAATCTGAGGCTATGATTGCTATCGATGATCTTCAACGAACAGTTGAACAAAAATTCGCTAGGGCGGAGCGACGTATAAAAGAGTTGTCACTGGTTGACGAGTCAGATTTGCAGGTGGCTGCAGCGATACTAAAGGTTTTTCTTTTTATCATTTATCATTTTATCATTTTAATTTCAGTTAGGAAACAATTTCGTTCAACTTGATAATTGCTATCTTTTAAATTTATTTGACAAGTTAAATTTTTTTTTCATGATCTTCTAAATTTATAGAAATATGATTAATTTATGGCAAATATATGTAGGCTTAGGAATTTTTGCAAGTGAGTCATTTGGCTGTGAAAGTGCAGGTGAGTCGCTTGCAGCATCGAGTTTTGTAGACTTTCTATGTGTATCATCAGCCGAACACTTGATCTACACAATATGTAAGATATATAAAGTCTTTGAAGTTTTGCTGTTGTTGCTTTTGCTGCTGCTTTGAAATTTTTATATCGATTTTAGTGAAAAGTTGGTTAAAGTTTTCAGTTAAAAAAAGTGAATACTGTAAAAGGGTAAAAGAAATATTTTTATTGTTCAGTTATCGATTTTTATTTCTGTAATTTTTAATATTTAATGTTTTTTATCATTTAATTCAAGTTTGTAGTGGAAAATAAAAAATGTATTCGTCTTGAAATTTTTCTATCAATTTGTTTTGATTATTTAGAGCGATAATTGCGATTAGAAAAAAATCTTATTGGTTTATTTTTGTCAATTTTTTTATAAATTTGATTGAAATACAAAAAAAATTTTAAAAAGAAGTTTATTTTTGTGGTTTTATTTTTCTACTTTTAGGAGATCGAAGAGGAGGTGGGCCATTTAAGAACATACGCCAGACTAAAGGAAATCGTTGAAGAATCGAAGAATATTATCTTTAAGAAAATGGAATTTTTCGAACGTCTTCAAGCTATTTATAGTGCAGTTATGACTGTCAATGATGAAAACATACGATGGGATACCATTAAATCAGAACAAGTATCATTTATCTGCTTTATCAATGCAAAAGTTCAGCATTATTGGAAAGTTATATATTGTTAAGATGAATTAGAGGAAATTAGACTTAGAAATTTAAATTTAGTTTTATTTTGGATTTCAATAATTATGATTGAGACAGTCGGTCTTATTTCAACGAAACCACATCTTAGAAATTACAAAGGCAAAAAGAAGGCAAAAAGGCAAAAAAAGAAAGAATTCAAAAAATAAAAATTTTTTTCTAAAAAAAAGAATTTAGAAAAAATAAAATTTGAAAATCGTCTGAAATCGTTTGAAAAATCAAGCAGTATAAAGCAATTCCGAATATTATAATAACAGCAAAAAATTTTTAATAAATATTTTGGAAATATGCCCAAAGTTTGAAAATTATTTCCAAAATCATAGAATTATTTTTTGAGTTTGATCAAATAATTTAACATCTATTCGGATTGATTCAGCCTCAATTATTGCTAAAGTTTCTTTTGAAAAAAGTGAACCGAGTTGTATAAATGTTCGAGTAGACCATAAATTAAAAAAAAACTACGTAATAAAAAATAAATTACCATTGCCATAACATTAGTAAAGTGTTCACAATAACAATATAAATACAAATAATAAAAAACAGTTACTGGCCTAAGCTTTAAATTTAAGCTTTAAATGCCTAAGCTTTAAGTTTAAGTATGAAGAACTTTTTTGTCAAAAAAATAGTTATGAAGATAGGCTCAAAGTTTTTTATATCGTTTTTTACCTTTGCTTTTTTGACGAAAGAAGGAACTTTTTTCAAGGTGTTTCACACTTTTCTAATGCTTGTTTTATTTTTTAAAATATTTGTTTTTTGAAGAAAAAGTCTAAGGAAAAAACTCTGCTCTTCAAATATTTATTTGTGTTGATTTATGTTTATTTGTGTCGCTTTATTTGTATTGATGCCATTTTAAATAATTTTTGGTTGAATAGTTAATTATTATTTAAGCTCTATCTTTTTTCATTACAACCCGTGCACTGGCTTATTTTTTTGGCGATGTTTATTTAATTTTTTGTGCATATTTTTCAAATCATAATTGGAGATGTTTTCAAAAATTCAAATATTAAATAATTGAATCACCATAATATAATTGTTTTGTACATTTAGACTATGGTAATAAATAGTTTTTCTAGGTAGATGAAATTTATGAACGATTGGAAGAGCTACTGTCAAATATCAATGAAAAATATGTACCTGAGGCTACCTGTTTATGTGCACAGATGGAAACTGTTCAAAAGTCCTTTTTCAAACTGGAATGTGATCGCATTAAAGAGAAGTTGTTTTACATTTCGATTTAAATATTAACATGTTACTCATGTTAATTCTGAGTTTTTTTGCGAAAAAATAAATAATTTTTTTCTTATCAAGTTTCCTCTTGATTTATAGATTACGCGTAATTGTAAAAAAATTCGAAACGCTGGCGAATGTTTTGGCCAAACGAAAACTTTTCCTCATAAAATTCAAAGAATTCCGTCAGTATGTTTTGATAGAAGAAGAACGATTACTTGATAATATACGGATGGTTTCTGAAGGAAAAATTAGTAATATGGAAAGAACTGTTAGCACTTCAGTCATTTTATTTACATCAAAGGCATTTTACTTTTTTAGCATATCTTTTGCATTTTATTTTTCATTTTTTCGTAGGAGAAAAAACTTCAAGAAGCATTCATTTTTGATGTATGTTGCGATTCAGTTTGCTTTTCAAAATTTTAACAGCATTTGCGGAATTTAGGCGAACGAAATAAATGAACTTGTTGAAATAATCAGCACCCTTGGAGATGAATTGTTGAAATATCAGCTCGAAGCAAAGATGACAATATCCGATGCTTCAATTTCGAAGGAGATCGAGAAAATTCGAAATTTGCCATTGATTATTGAAGTATATTGTATTATAATTGCATTCAACTGTGTTGAAAAGTACCTATTTATGATTTCAGGAAGAACCGAGTTGTATTTCCGATGATTTCCAACAATTTTTCGACACTTCAAATGAATTAGAAAAACTTTTTGCAATAGAAGTGAGTCAAAGCGAACAATCTGAAGATGCTTATCAGTTTATATGTCAATCTCAGGTATGCTTATTTATGGTTCAAATAATATCATGAAGCAGAGATAGTCAATATTATTTTATATTCGTAAATATTCGATATTTTTTGTTAAGAAAAACGGTGAAAGAGAAGCTCAATTAATGTGCGAATTGGAGATGATTATTAATGTGCTTAACCAAGAAGAAAGAGAAAAGGCTAACCAGGTTAGTCATTATTTTGTTGTTTAATTGTTTATTTATGTGGAAATTTTGAATTCATATTTGAAATCATTTATTATTTAAATTAAATTAAGGCTAAATAAATTTGAACAATTTAAAATAATTTATAAAATAATTTAAAAATAATTTAAAATAATTTATTGATGTATTTTTCAGCTTTTGCAAGAATTAATGCCTATAATGGCAAAACGTAAGCAGTTGAGAAAATCGACTATCAATGATACTATCGAAAGGGCTTTGGTATTGCTTTCAAATAAGGAGGATCAAGGCGAACTAAATGTGCAAAAATATGTTGAAGAGAAAAATTTTTTGGCTCTTTCAAAATTCGAAAGCGATGAATGGTTGCCATTAAAAGAGGAATTAAAGCATGTAATCATGTTTTAATTCAGTACTTTTAATATTTTTATATTCATTATACTGGAAGTGCTTAATTGTGTATTTTTGTTTAAATATACAAATTTTAAAAATTTCGTTTTTTAATTCCTTTTTTGATGTATTCTTGATGAATAAGACGTTAGGAGAAAATGTGATTTCATTTTTTTATAGGTGAAAATGATTTGCGAATCAAATGAACAATGGATCGAAAAGTGCGAAGCTTTGGAAACAACAGCTGCTTTAATAGATGAAAAAATTGCTAGATTCAAACGTAAAATGTCAAAAAGAAACAAGCGTGAAGATAAAATTATTAGAAAACTCTCATCATTTGGGAGATGGCTTGAACAAATGGAAAATGATATTGCAAAGGTTGAGAGCTTAATTGCAGAAAAGGATCCAGCGAAACAACGAAAGATGAATGATTTAATGTTTCATTTGAAATCTACTTGTTTATCATACAAAAAGCTAGTAGATAAGCTTGGAACTGTGCAACTAAGACAGCCGCATTCAGATCAAGCAAAAGGGCATTGTATAAGATACCAAAAATTCCTAGAGAAAATTTCCAAATGGCCCATGGATGAAGAATTCTCAACTCGAACACAGATTATAGAAGATATGCCATCAATTTCAGTGCGGGTAAGTTTTTGCAATTTTTGAATATAGATTTTGGTCAAAAAAACACAAAAAAATCGTAATTTTTTAAAACCTTGTTAATTTAATTCCATTTTAATTCCATTTTGCATTTGGTTTTTGCATCAACAGTTATTATTTAAAAGGCCTATTATGATATTCAGTTACTAGCAGTTGCCAAAATTTTAGAATGCAGTTTGCCAATTACGGAATGATTTATTTTTTGCTTTTTTAAATCAAATAATTACAACTGCAAACAATTTTATATATTTGCAGCAATTATCTTTTAATTCTACGTCAACATCAGAATCATCCGATAATATTGATGAACAGATTTATGAAATTGAACAAGAAGCATCATGGCGAGATAAAGGACTTTTCGATGATACTTTAGTTAGCATGAAATCCATTTTTTTTATAAAATTTGTTGCGTTTCAGAAATGGTGCTTAATACTTTCATATTTCAGATACAAAGGTTAAAGAAGGCCGATATATCAGATATCGTACTTGCTTTGCCAGAAATTGACGTAGAATTAAATTTTATGGCAAGGTATATAAACGAATTAAGTGTTAATTATATTCGATCGTTGAAGACACTGCCTGAGGCAGAAGAAGATTTAAGATGCCTTGAGGTTAAGTATTTCAATTATGACTTAATTAATAGTTATTTATTATTTCCTCAAATAATTGTGTTTCGTGGAACTGTGGCTAATGTGAAATCTTTTGTTAATATGTTTAATTATAAAACATTCCTATATTTTTGAGTTTATTTTTAGAAATTGTCTCGTAAGATAATATGCTTGCAAAAAGAGTGTGGAAAGTTTCTTGGGCGCATGAGCAGTGATGAAAAGATGATTATGTGTTCTTTGTTACATCACCTAAAATCTTTAGAAGAACCGGTAGAGGTTCGTTTTTCTAAAGGGCAAATAAATAAAGTAGTTGATTTTCTAATTTCTAATTTCCAAACAACAGTTTCCGAAAATCTTCAGTATTATAGTTATGACGAATAAAATGACAATTTTACTTTAATTCACTCATATACTCTTTAGAATTTGATGTCTAATTTGCGAAACGAGTGTGACGAAGAAAGGTCATTACGGAATAATTACGATTGTATAGTGAAAGAGTTAAATCATTTAAATACCGACATTGATTTCCGAGCTCAAAAAGAAATAACTGTCGTTCGTCCTTTTTTCTTTATTTCTTCTCAAAATAAAGGAGTTTTTTGCTATTTTTTTCTTTTTTTGTTCCAAGATATTCAGAGATCATAAAGTTTTATTTTTCGATTTTTTGATGGTGTTCTGTAATAAAATAATAAAATGTAATAGTGTTCTGTAATTAGGTCTACTAATGGCTAAATTTTAGGGTTCTTTTCGTTCATTCATCTTTCGATCAGTCGGATATCATATATGAGAATTCTGATTTCTTTTCAGCTCAAAAGACAGTTGGAAAGTCTTCAATTGCAAATAGATTTACTTCGAGCACAATGTGCACAGCATCGGTCATATGTAGAAAATTCAATAGAGGGTTCATCCGCTTCTTCTCCAAGTATTTCACGTCGGAAAAAAATTATCTTAATGATGTCGAGAACAGTAACAACTATCATAAAGGTAATGAATATTTAATAATTTCAAAGGATTAGCAATTGTATTGATTAAAACATATAAATAAAAAAATTAATATTAAATAATTTAAAAATAATTTATAATAAAATAATTTAAAAAATTTAGGTCGTCGAAGATGTGCTCAAAGCGTCACCAATATCTAGCGAAAAAAATTTGATTGATTTCAAATGCAAATTAAATGAAATCAATAGATGTATTCAGAAAACTCCGGTTGAATTCAATGCCGACCTGTTAACATCATCGGCTATAGCACTTCATAATAATGTTATGGAAATCCGAAATAGTAATTTAGAGTTACTGAATATGGATGAACTTAACCATTTATATGAAACAGTATCAACAAGGCGAGAGCGCATTGAAGCTATATTACGTGCAATTACGCGTCAAGCAAATAATAAAGTGAACTTCAATATACCTGAACGTATCAATGAAATATCAAAATTAACCGCTTCTGTTAAAGTAAGTGATTCACAGTTTTTTCTTTTAATCTATTTAATTAGTCTGTTTAATAAAATTCCTTCCATGGAATAAAACAAAAAAGCTAATGGTATAATACAATCTTCCCTTTGCACAAGCTCGAATTTCATAAATTTCATCGACAAAAATTTGCAGGATTTGGAAGATGAAATCTATGGCTATTTCTCAAAAACTCTACAATTTAGAGAAGAGAACATGAATATACATCAAGTAATAATTTAGATTCATTGGTAATTAGCATAAATAATTAAATGGAAACTAATCTAATTCATATATCAACCTTGCTTGAGGAAATATTTTTCAGCATTCAATAGCAGAAGATATAGTGGGACATGAAAATAATGAACGATTGTTAGCGTTGTTATTTGATGAAATCGATTGTGAATTGCCAGAAACATTGGATTTCCTTGCTAAGGCAAAAGAAGCACTAAAATGTTACGATTTGCTATCTGTTGGTGAAAATATCTGTCGTGGCGACGAGTTGTTAAGATCGATCAAGAGTTATCTCGATAGACTTAATGAATTTGAAGGGCTGAATGAAGAACAGTTGAAAAATTTAGATGATAAACGTGAATTGTTAGGAAGCACCTATGATCGTATAAGATTGCAAAATGAGGCACTTAAAAGTCGCCAAATTGCCCTAGGGAAGTGGATAGATATTAAATCTCAATTACAACTTGATGCAACAGCGCTCATTGATGAAGCGAAACAATTCAAAGAAAAATATCTATTAGTGCAGCCTTTGTCGGTCGCAACTGATGATCAATGTAAAATAGAACAACTTAATGCAGAATTAAAAGAATTAAAAGATCATGCATGCAGAAAATTTGACGAATTCAACGAAATAACGAAATGTGATTTTGAAGCACTTGTCGATGAACTTGCTAAATTACGTGCAGACATTGATTGGTCTTGTAATAGTATTGAGGTAAATTCATTCCATACATCTTTCTATTATATTATTATAATCATAATTTTTTATGAGATTTTATTGAGTTGAGAATTTAATTTTTTTTCTTTTTTTAGGAGCTTATCGTGCCTTTAAAAGAAGATATTAATTGGGCAAATGATTTAATTGATCGAAATAACACATTTTTGTCAAATATGATTGAAATAGATACGAGGCTAGCGAATTTTCGTTCATCACTTGAAAATACACAGTCGAATGAAATCGATGATCTTCGTAAAGATTTGCAAAAAATTAGTAATGAATTGAGAATATTGCAAGAACGAGAAATGATTCCTGAACGATTAGTTAAAAAACCAGGTTTAATTCAAATTGCAAGTTTGAAAGCGAAATTCGATGAAGTTGAACGTGCTTTAAATAGGGAAGAAGAACGCATAGCTTCAATATCGGCGAATGCAAATATGAAATCATTAATAGCAACAGAAAGCGCTTTAATTCGAGATTATATAGAAAAAGCAAGAAACATTGAAAATGATCCATATGCGAATGAAAATAATCTCAGAAATTTAGCGGATGAACTAAGAGAGGGACGTAAACGCTTGGATGCCATCGAGAATATTTATGAAGAATTGAAATGTATTAAAGATGAAGATCCAATGCGACTCTCAACGCTCAATGAAGTAGTAGAACTTGCGAACGAATTTGACAGTATGATATCTGTAATAAATGAGCGTTTTGATATTTTAAATCGGTTTAATGAAGAAGCTAATATTATTGAGGAGCAATTACGTGGTTTGGAAAATTCTTTAAATATATTAGAACCTATAAGTGATGATGTTTTACAAGAAATTCGCAAAGTTTTCAATATGCTTTCGCCTAATTCAATTCAATCACTTAATGATATGATACAATGTCTTACACCAATGATTGAACCAAAACATCGCTTTGATGATATAATTACATATAAAAATGAATTGGATAAAAAACTAGAGGTTTGTTTTTTAAATCTTACAATATTTAAATATAAATATTTTAAATATTTTATTATATATATATATATATTTACTTATTTATTTTGTATCTTTTCAGAAAATTCTTTTCGAACATGAGCAAATCGAAAATGAACGTAAAGCTAAAGAAGCCGAATATGAAGATGCAATCAGCAGTCTTAAGCGAGAAATGGAGAAAGCTGAGAGTGATTTTGACGAAATGAAACCATCTTTGGCGCTTATTGAAAGTTTTAAGGAAAAAGTTTTATCAAAACTATTAGATAAAGTTTACCAATTAGGTGAAATGGTTCCTTTTTCGGAAACCGAAAATTTCACTTCTTTAAATGATCGCATTGATAAACTTATACATGGGACGGACAAAAAAATAGAAGATGCTAGAAAAGAAGAGGAACTTATGAATGAAAAACGAGGAGAGCTTGATGATATCGAACGTCAATATGACGATATTAGTTCAAAATACGCTATTCCTCAAGATTTGCCCATTGCTGTTGAGGATGTGAAACGTTTACAGTCACTTTTGAATCGTTTGGCTGTATTCGACGTTAGCGATATTACATATGATGGATTGATGGATGGTATTTTGAAGAGGATTGATAAATTAAAGGCATCGATTGAGGTTCGTATTTTTGTTTTGTCTTTTTTTACGTAGTGCCGTAATGGCCATTGCATTTCTCTCAATGTAATTTTCAAATGGAATTCTTAAAAATTATTGCCTTTGATTGGTTTATATGTTTCACTGGCTTTGCTTCCATTTTTTAACGAATCTAAACTGTTGAACGGCGGTGTGAAGTAGTTCTTGTAAAACAACGAAATATAATAAAAGTCATGATTAGAGGTAGAGATTACATATTTGAGATTGATTGCGTCTATTATTGGTAATATCTGGAATTTTTTTTTTAAGAGTATTCATTATTGCTGATTAGATTCCTCTCCTCTGGCTTTTCGCGCTTGGCAAATGCCAGGGAATCCCTTAAAGGTCGAAGTACAGGTGAGTCGCCAGTATATCCAAGTTTTTGGGCTGTTTTGCTTTTGCCGAAAAATTTGCAAAATATTTGGAGTAATTAATATTGTTTGTTTGATAGTGGACATGGAGAGTATATCATTAAATGGGATTATATATTTAAATATATTCGAAAATTTCTATTCCTGTAATGTTTTGGAATTTTAGTGTATTTTCAAAGTCATCGATTATTTGCCATATTTTTTGAATATTTTAATCCCTGTTAAATATTCTTAACGCTAAAATGTGCTGTTATACTATTTTAGTTTCGCACCATTACATTCCTTTAATGCTTTTCTCAGTATATATTGGAAATTTTCATGATCCAAACTCAATCATTAAAAACTCATCCAATAGTACTATGTTTTGGAGAATTTAAAAAAAAATCCAGCGGAATTCACCTGATTATTAAGGAATTTAGCCCATTTGGAAGTGCAATTAAGGGATACTCGATTTCAAGAAGTTCTTGATTAGACTAATATTTTTTTTTTTATATTTTTTTACTAATATTAGACTAATATTAGAGTAAAATTTTTTTTAATATTCTTGATTCGACTAATATTTTTTAATACTAATATTTTTTAATATTCTTGATTAGACTAATATTAGACTAATATTCATATTTAACTAATATACTAATATATACTAAGTTCTTGATTAGACTAATATTTATATACTAATATTCTTCAATATTGTCATTAGACTATTTTTTTTTTATATTTTTTTACTTAAGCATTTAAAATATTCCTTCTTGCCTAGTGGCCCAATATATATTTTCTTAATGCTCAAGGAAATTGATGTTACTGATGTTTCTTTTAGTTACTATATTTTCAAATTGGTTATATTGGTTATTCAACATTCACTTTGTACTCGAAGCTCTTTCATTCTTATTTCATTTTCTTCGAAGAGGAGGGCATAAATCCTTAATTTTATATATTTTAAAAGTTTTAGCATTTCATTGATTCGTTGGAGAAGCAGATTGCTGATGAACTTGATCTCTTCAATGAATTGCGTGATTGCTTATTGGAATTAACATTCCTTGGAGATAATGTACTGTCAATTGATATCAGTGAATTAAACACGAATCAATTGGAAAGTATTAATGTTTTGTCAGAAAATTTGCGCCAGCTAAAACCAACTGTAGAAAATTTAGAAAGGAAACTACATATTTCTGCATCTAATTTGGTGAAACGTGCTCCAACACCTGATAATTTATCATCTCGCCTAGCTCGTTTGCAACAAGCTTTGAATCAGCGAAAAGAGGATATTGTTTGCAAATCTAAAATTCAAGAATTAACGCAGGCAGTGGATCTCATATCAGCAACAATTCAAATTAGAACTAATGAACTGGAACATGAAAAGTTAAATTCCACTGATGAATATAATCTTATTGATTTGGAAACAAAAAAACATCAATTAGAAGATATTATTGAGAAAATTCCAGAAGGCGATGAAGCATTAGCTTTACGCGAACAAAGCAGTCTGCAGTTAGGTTTTCTTAACGACTTATTGAAATGTTTAGCGGCAAAGGTTGGCAATAAATTAGCTGCACTTACGCGATTTAATGCAGCTAAAGATGAGATAGACGCACAGTTATGTTCCATTGATTATAACATTGAAGATATGCATTCGGACTCAGTGCCATTGATTGATGAAAATCTTAATCATATTCAGGTTATTTTTTGCAAGTTATTGAAAAGTTACTTTTTTTTTTTCATTCTTATCATATTTTTTCTATATTTCTTGCAGTATATTTCGCATAATCAATTCTTCTTTCTTCTTTTAGAACAAAATTAAGACTATTGAAAAATTCAAAAGTAGAATTGAAAATATGAACGAGCATGATCTGGATGAAAATTGTTTAAATGAAAGGGAAGGATTGTTGAAGAGAATTGATGAAGTAGCTATTGGCCTTAGCGTATGTTCATTTTTTTGATCAAGATCAATTTTCATGCTTTTTTTTAAAAAAAATAACTTATTATTTAGCAAATCTTCTCAACAAATCGAATATTTTATATATTACAGAAACAACGCGAAAATGTTGAAGAGCAGTTGAAAAACGCTATTAATCGAGAAAAGATGCATAAAGAAGCAAAACATCTTGTTGAGGAACTTTTAAAATTGGTTAAGGAAGGTGATAAAATATTGAACGATGCAGAAGCTTTACATTTAGCATATATGAGTGCTTATAATGCATTTGTTAATCCTCTTGAAAATGCTACGAAACTTATTAGTAGTACGCAGCAAGTGGAAGGATTATTGGAAGATTTAAATGAGGCTATGCAACAATCAGTTGTTATGCAAAAGAAATTAGAACATAAGGATAGTCTTTATCGACAATTTGTAAATGAATTTGAAATTGCAAATGAACAACTTGAAAAATTGCGCAAACCAGTATATGAAATTAGAGAAAAATCTTTACGAGACGTCGAAGAAGCTATTGATGATTTAAATTATCTTAAGGTGAATTTTTTTTTTTAAATCATAATCTATTTTCGATATTTTCTGCACTTCTTCTGCACTAAAGTTAAGAAGAATTCAAAAAATAAAGATTCTTTTAGGATTAATTAATCATTCATTGCTTGCAGGCCGCATACGAAAATTTTGATGATTTGAATAAATTCTTGCGTAAATTACAAGATCTTTCGGAACAACTTGATCCACATGAGGCAGCCTATACGGAAGTGCGCTTCTTTGATAATGACATCGTAGGTGTTTTCGAACAATACGAAAGTCTTATGTCAATATTGGATAGTGAAATAAAAGATGAAAATATTTTGAATGAATCAGCTCATCAACTTATTGTTGAATTCGATCAACTTACAAGTGAACTTAATAGTGATTTGAATGAAGAAGAACACTTAAAAGATGTAGGTTTTTTCTCTTTCGAATTTCTTGCATAATAGATTAGAAGTAAAAAATTAGCTTTTTAAAAAATTAATATTATTAACAATTACAATTATTAAAACATATAAATTGGATTGTATTTAAAAAATAATAATTTTTTAAATTATAGATTTTAAATTATCATTTGCCTGCTCTCGAAGAACAATTGAAAATGTTGAAATGCAAAGATGATGATGCAAGACGAATGCGGCAACATGTTAATCGTGTTTCTGAACCATCAATTGAAAAAATTACTGATACTAAAATGAATCTAATAGAAGTCGTTGAGAAGAATTTGAAAAATATGGATGATTTGAAAAAGCAAGAAAAATTGAAGTATATACAAGAAGAAATGAGCAAATTACAATCGTTGCCATTAAATAACGAACATTTAATTAGAATCGAGGAACAACTTCAACAATTACCTGCTGATGATGAATCCGTAAAAGAATTAATGAATCAAATTGGAGCTATGCGCGTTAGAAATGATAATGAACGTGAAATATTACAGAAACAATCGTTTAATATACTTGAAAATATTGCTAAGTTTATCGAGAAATCGCTTAATAAAACAGCCGCAATGAAAGATGAAGAGAAGAAAACGTCAGCACAATGTATTATTATTGAACAAATTAATACATTAAATTCAATGATTGAAAAAGTCGAAAACGATTTGCTTCCACAGTTAGATGAACTATCCAATAAATTGCAACAACAAAACCTGGATGATAGTAATGTTTTATCTGTAAAAAATCATGCTCAAAAATTGAATGAGCAATGTAAGGTTAGTATTATTTTTTTTTTATATATTGATTTTAGTTAATTTCATTGAAGAATTTATTTCTGACAAATACGCCTTAGGCATAATGATGACGATATGAGGAGAGTAATTATCTAAGAGGAAAAAAATGATGATGAAGATCATCAACTAATCAATTTTTGTTGACCGTATAATGTTGTTGTATTAGCAAACTTAATATATCATTCGTATATCATTCGTGCAGTGAGTTTTAAGGTAACTTGTTGAGAATTTTTATGTTGTTGTTTTAGGTTTATATTTATTTATTTTTGAAATGTTAAAAAAAATTGTATATATATATATATATAAAATTTTAGGTTGTTCTAAAGGAAAAAATGTTGGAATATGAAAATAATGAACGATTGTTAGCGTTGTTATTTGATGAAATCGATTGTGAATTGCCAGAAACATTGGATTTCCTTGCTAAGGCAAAAGAAGCACTAAAATGTTANTTTTTTTTTTTAGGACTTTTTGATTCCATTGGAGAAAGACGTTTCAGAAGTAGTTGAATCTTTTTGCATACCTTGGTAGTTGACTTTAATCTTTTTTGCTATAGTATAGGTGACAATTCAAGTGAAATACTTATATTGTTTTTGCTTTCATATAATTTGTTTTTTATTCTTGCTGATTATTCTTGCTGATTCTATATTTCCTATATTTTTACAGGAACAGCGGAAAAAATTAATTCAATCAAAGGCTGAAAATACCGCAACGATTGATGTGCACAGTCTTTTTAATGAGCTGTCCTGTCTGGAACAAAGAGCTCACAATATATTTCAAAATGAACCCTCTTCTTCATATATAGCTGAAACATTAGTAGCCTTGAATAATGCTCTCTCTTGTGCGTCGAGAGCTATTTGCGATGCAGAAAGAGTTGGAAAACAAATGGGATCTCTTCCTCAATTTGTACAGTGCTTAATTAATACTCAGGAAAAGTTATCTGAATTATCTAATGCTTTTAATGAATTTGATAAAGAATGGATGGAAATTCAACGCAGTTTTGAAATCCTGAGTAATGAAGCATCCGAATGCTACAATAGGCCTCAAAGGCCTTATAATGATGTCTTACGTGATATAGAACATCTAAAGGTATTGTAAAGGTATCTTATTGTATCTATTTAATGTAATACTGATTTGTTGAATTATTCGTGTTTTAGGTTATAGCAGATAATCTTTTCGCACTTAACGTTGATGATTCTCTGTCTTCAAAACATCCGTTTTTATTATCCAGGGCGTATAGAATGAAACAAGATATTAATGCTGCCGGCGAAGATATTAATGTGAGTTTTCAGTACTTTGAATTTTCTACGTTATATATTAGATCATTGATATATATATTCTATCAGTTTGGTTTTTTGAATTATGTGTTATGAAGATTGTTAAATATATGCAATATATTTAATCATGCTCTTCTTGTTAATAAGTTTTTTAGCGTTTTATCGAGGAAGTGCAGAATGAATTGAGATGTCGCGACAAGCTGAAGAAATCACTAGCACAAGTTGAACGGGAAATCGTTGGAATTTATGAGTTATTAACGCAAGAAGAAGCTACGGAAACTCAGAAAGTAAGAAAATTTACTTGTTTTTGATTTTGTTATTGAATAGATCTAAAAAGTTCTATTTGAAGTTTTCAATATTCTGCTCTTGCAGTTTTTCCATTTTCAATTATGACCAGTGAAGATTTGTATGAACAAAGATTTATCATGTTTGAAAATTATCAGTTTTTTGCAGGTATTATCCCACCAGCGATTACGAGAAATTCAGTCTGATTTGAATAATGTTGAAGAAAACATTCGGCGTTTTAATGAAAATCGTCAATATCTTATTGAAGAAGAAGATATTTCAACAAAGAAAATTCACGATTTGCTAGAATTGATGGAACAAACCTTGGATTGTATTACTGATATCACCACCCAAAATGCTCAAATCGATGTTGATATTGCTGCTGATGTTTTGGCTGCATTATATCCAGATATGGATCCTCGTCAAATTCTTATAGAACGGAATATTTTAAATGCTTTTGGCGAAGGTGAAATTACTGGAAATGAGGTCGCCATAGAGCAAGATGGTGCCAATCCTCATTTCAGTGGAAGACATGCAACGTCTTTTATTGACGGCGAAGTTTCATCTGTTGGTGAAGAAGATGATCAAGTGGTTTCTCCAATTCCGGAAGATCCTGTCCATGGTGCAATACCTTATGAGCGTCAGCGTTCGCGTTGGAGACGAATCTTACGAACTGCATTACCTATTCAAGTATTTTTGATTTATAAAAATGATTCCATTTTTAAAATTTAGCTAAATCTAAAGATTCAAAATTTTTAGTCTTATTCCTTCTGTTTATTTGTTTTTTTCATTTAAAATATAGATATAGATTAGGAAGAAAATAAGAATTTTTTTATATCGTTTGGCTTTTAAATGTTATTCAAGTTTTACTTATATAAGTTATATATTATACTTATTTTTTCGCATTTAGTATTGTTTCAGGCTTTATTAGTGTTATTGCTTGGTGCAGCTTGTCTTGTTCCACACTGTGACGAAGAATATTGTTGTCATTTAATGAATAATTTCGCCAGGAGCTTCGATACATCGTTACAGTTCTTGAATGGTCCGCCACCATTCTAAATAGTTGATTTTATTTCTTTTTGTTATCATATCATTACGATAAATTTTTCTATTAAAAATTCTGAAAAGCTGCGAAAGTTCATGGAAAACATTCTAACTTAAATATTCCTTTAACAATTTCGTATCAAATTGGCAAGTAGTTGATTATTGAAGAATGTAACTGAAGCTTTCATTGACTTTTGTACTGTTGTTGTTGATATTAATGAACCTAGATTTGCTGCATTTTATTCTTAGTTGAATGCCAGTTTTTGCGATCATAATTTGCCTGATTAATCTGATCCATACCATCTATCGATATATTCATTGGTAAGCAATACTTGGACAATGGTGTGCTAAAGAATATGTCCCATCATGAATTCATCGTTGTTTTATAGGGTGTGGAGATAAAACTGATTAGTTTAAGCCAGAGGTGAGTTAACAATAAAGAATATGGTGAAAAGTGGGATTATCAATCCGCAATGCCCACAAATGAAAATACCCACAAGAACCAATTTTTCATAACTTTTTTTCATAGTTTTGTTTTTTGGATAAAATCCCATTTTTGATAAGTTGAGCAAATTTTTTTTACCTTCTCAAGGAAAAAAACCTTACCGTAAGTCACTGGTGTGGACCAGTTGGATTATATTCTGTAATTTTTTGTAGGCTGAATTATGGGGCAAAGGTTATATCACCTGGCAATAAATATCATTTTGTCGATCCCAAGAAATACTTCGAAAAATACATTAAGAAGAATAATTTGTTGATATCATTTTCATGTCGAAAATTATTTTAATCTATTTGTGACGAGGTTTTAACCTCTTAGAAATCAATTAGAAATATAATTATTTCTTTTTTTTTCAATTTTTATTAATATCGACGTTGTATTTCCCGATTTTCTCGATGAGCTTTTGAAATTTTTCTGGGATTCGATCTGATTTCAATCGAATCGATCGTGAGCGATTGATTTGTATTGTTTGTTTTTAGTTACAATAGTTTTAAAATAATTTTGTTTTCGAGCGGATTATCTTTTAATATCAAATTATTTATTTTTGTAAAGGCATCATGGGTTTAGGTCACCTCCTTGGGTAATTAACTGGTAGGTTGCTTTGCTTAGCTATATTTTCTAATGTTTCGGCTTTATAGAACAATGCTTAGCGCTCGTGTTGTATGTGAATTCGTAACCAAATAACGTCCATAATGTAGTCGAACCAAGAAATGGAAATATAAAAATGTCATAAAAATAACTGAAATATCGTTAAAACTATAATTTCAATGAAATAAAAAGACAAAAACCAAGAATAAGAAGAAAAACTGCAGTGCCGAAACTTATTTTTAGGACAAATTTTTATAAGCGAATCGAAAAATTTGAATGCAAACGTACAACCGTGGGATTACTGATACAATGATAAGCCTTGATGACTAGACTGGTACGGGATATAAAGAAAGAATGAAAAAGCATAAAATTTATGAAGAAAGAAAACACCAAAATATCAGTGAAAATGTTTATGAATAATACCTTCTAGCCTTATTGCTAAAAAACTGTAACTACTAGAATGAAAACAAATAAACCCTTAATAAAATAAACCACATTATGCAAAGAAACAATTAACTGCCGGATGGTCCAAGAAAGTTTTTGAAGGATACAGAAATTAAGTTAAAGATTTATGAAATATCCAATGGAAGAAGTAAAAAGATGCTTTTTTGGTTCATCGATTTGCAAGCGGATTGACCTTCTTTAATCCCGTCTTTTTGATTGCGTCATATTATATATGCAGTTTATTTGTGTTTCTGTCCAAAATTGGGACATTTGACCTAAAGTCCCAATAACTTTTGGTAAATTTGGTAAATTTGGAATTACTATTTCAAATTTCGGATAGTTTTTTGAAATCTTTGAATCCAAAATTGAACGGCTTTTTTCAGCAATGACCCATCAAATTATATTGTTTGAAAGTTGGATGGGATTTATTTATCTTTTTGGCTTCTATTTCTCTAGTGTTTTCTCCTTTTCCTAGTGGCTACTGCTGTGAGCAGTCTCGAGTGCCTCTGGTGGAGTATAGCCTTTATACTTTTCCAGCTTCTTCTAACACCATTACTGATTCACCATTACTGATTAGGTTGGCTCCAACGGCTGCAAGGGTAAGACGCTTCCAAGCGGCGCCGACAATAATAGAAGCCATTCCTTTTTCCATCGTCTGAGTCCATATATTGCTGGTCCACCTATACGTTCAAAATCTTTCCTGATCGTATCAATCCAGGTCTTTATTGGCTCACCTCGCTTTTTACACCAGCTATCACAGGGTTTACCAAGTAACGAAATGTAAGTCAATTCATATGATGGATGACGGAGAATGTACCCCAACCACCGAAACCGACGCTCTTTAATAACATTATTAATACAGGTGATGTTTGAAGAAGGTGGATGTGATCATGTGATATTTTATCCGCTCGACGGACCTGTAAAATATACCTTCTATCAGCTAGCTAACTTCTTATTGTCCAGCCATCTTTTCCAGTGGCGCAATGCTTTGTTCTTCTTGATTTTATATATTTATATATATACTATTGATTTGGACCAAGATTGGTGAAAAATGTTTACTTATCTAACACATTCCAAACCAGCTTAGCTTGACAACAGACAGATGCGAATTTTCGTTTTGGTATTGATGATGATATTTATACCGTTGTGGTGGATTGTTTTCCTGCGGGCTGCTACTATATAAATGTTCAACCGGTTTAAAAGGGTAGATCCAAAATAGCGATTAACAAAAATAAATAAATTCTTCAAATAATTCTTGCTTTACCAGCTTGCTAATCAAAAATTCCTTCAATAATTTTTTCATGCGTTTTATTTAGCTGCATTCTAATCCACTTTTTTATGTACCGAAAAACACTAATGAGCATGTATTTGGCATGGAATATTTTATTTATATATGTATCTCATATTTTTATTGCCGTAATCAGATAACTGTAGTTTTTCTACTTTAATTGGTTAATCATTCTGTATGCATATATAAATTATCTTATCTTATCTTATCAATTATCATTCCCATTGAAAATGCTTTTCTTTGTAAGCGAAAACACCACATAGATTCGGCGAGCTTTTGTTTTGTATTAGTTTGAGCTTTGTTTTGTAGGGAGATTTGTTTTGTTTGGTTTGTATTGCTTTGTTTCGATATCGAGTTGTGGGTTTTTTAATAGCGTTTCATTTTTCAACTTTGGTTTGTTGTTAATTAACTGTTTACTGTTTCCTACATAAAATCTTTCTTTGATCCATTGTTTTTAACTTGCGTTATAATTGGGTTTAATTACCGAAATCCTTTGAAATCCTTCTCGGACTGCTTGGTAAGATAATAAACAGTTGGATCGTCAACTGCTAAATCGTTCCCTACCGGAGTGTAGTTTCATCAGTCCAACAACCACACCGTCGATTTATTTTCCCTCAGATTTCTCCTCATAACGACATCCGTAGCAAAAAATTTTTTCATAAAAGCTGCTTGAGCAAACTGAAAATGGAATTAAAATGAACTGAATGTAAACTTCCTCAGATAGGAAATGATAAAACTAGGATTTCTTTGCACATACTGAAAGCGTCATTTGCCGCGTTGGAGATGCGAAATAAAGGATTGAGTAAATTGGTTTCTTTTTTGGAAATTAAAAATTTTTCTGATAAATATTGTCTCCTTGCTAACGAAAGTCAGCGACAAAAATTCGAGCTATCACAATACAAAAAGAACTTAGCTAAGGAAGAACTTGTTGTTATTTTGAGCACTGTTAATTTGTGGTTAAAATATGTGACGACGATGACTCCATAAAGGTTTCATCAACCGGAAGAACGCATTTCTGGCTGTGATCCGGCTTGTAATATCGTCTTTTTCCTGGCAATTTGGTGTTAGAGTGGACCCAAGGTATTTAAAAATCGGTCATTTACTCTACCGGCAAAGAATTTATAAAAAGAGACATTTTATCAGCTTTTTAAACATAAGACGAAAAAACTTTCGTTATTTATATTGATCCTGAGTCCGATTCTCATTGCAGTTGTTTACACGTTATTTAGCATTATTTGCATTTCATCATAACTATCAGCAAAAGGGACCACATCATCAGCGTATTCAAGATCTATAATACGATGCTCTGGACTGATTTGGACATCCTTTGATTGCCGACAGGCGTTGTCAATCACCCAGTCTATCGCATAGTTGAATACTGTAGGGGAAAGGAAGTAGCCCGGACCGACACCAGTATATATTTCGAAGGAATATGTCAGTTCTCTATATATACAGACCTGCGTCGACGTGCACTGATTAACAAATAAATTCATTTATTTATTGAAAACCAGCCAAGCAGGGCGCAAATGCCATGTGCCTGTATTAATAACAACGGTTATATAAAATAACAAATAATAAGAATTCATGTCAAAAACAAAAAATAATAATAAAATAAAATTAACAATTTAAAGATGAAAGAAAGCGAAATTTATAAAATAGTATAATATAGTACAATTCGAAATAACTACAATCGGATGGTAAAAATCGAGATTTCACATTTCTTGCATGATCTGAACTTTTTAAATAATATCATAAATGATATTATCCATTCTTTTTTAAAAGATGGCTAGGAATGGCGCACAAGCTATATCGTTCGGTAGCTTATTCCAGAAATTAATATTACGAATAAAGAAATCATTGATCCTTCCTTAGTTTAGTTTTACACATAGGTTTTAGTACTTTTAGCCCATTAGTTCTTGTTGGATTAAAATTTAAATTTAACCTAAAATTGACAGTAATTTTAGCCCATTAGTTCTTGTTGGATTAAAATTTAAATTTAACCTAATATGAACAAACTAGTTTAACATAACCATACAAAATCTTATAAGTATAAATTAAGGCGCCGTATAAAATATTTTTGGAGTCCTTCAATTATTTCACTTGATTTACGATATCTCGGAGACGATATTTACGATAACATGTAGCATTGTAGTCAAGAAGTGGCCGAACGAACGCTTTGTAAATTTTGATAAGAAA